CTAACTCTGTGTCATGCGCTCGGTGCTCAGGCGACATGTGCAAGTTGCCAGACAGGTTTGAGCAAGGGATTTGGGCTGCACGATCCTCCCAGGTGAGTCAGAAAGGTGTCCTACAGGTGACATTTAGGCTGGACTTGAAACAATGAGTAGGAAGGACTGTGACAGACTGAGTGGACGGAGAACTCTTTAAGAATTCAAGTTGCATAAAATCTCTCTTCCGCCCTGGCTGGTGTGGCTCAGTGGATTGAGTGCCGGCCTGCGAACTGAAAGGTCACCAGTTTGAGTCCCAGTCAGGGCAAACGCCTGGGTTGCGGGCCAGGTCCCAGGTTGGGGAGTGCAAGAGGTTAGATCCAGGTGTCTGTCACACATTGACGTTTCTCTCCCTCTCTCTCCCTAAAAGAAAAAAAATAAATAAATAAATAGTTTTAAAAAACCTCTCTTTTCCCATCTCATGTGTGCCAGGGATCTACCCTGACCTCATTATTCCTAGAGAGTGCTTACTTGCGTCCCCAGATTCCTCCCACATTTCTGCAGCCCAAAACCATCTGAAAGGTCTTCCGGATGCACCGCATTTTATTACAGCTAAACCACACATGTTTCTAATCAGTCAAGGTTAATAACTAATGGTGCTCAGCTCTACCAAGCAGTGCCCACAATTGGCTGGCCACAGCAAACATTCCTAGTGAGCATGTATTTGCTTTGAAATCAAATACGTCCCAGGCTGGTGTGGACTGGACTCTCAGTGGTCTACACAGCCTGATACTTACCACAACCGAAGGTTCCCCAAGCAGGAAGGGCACCACCCTAGGCTATCTGCAAGCAGGATACACAAATCTTGCAGAGTTATCTGCAAGGAAATCATTCTTATAGTTTAAGACTCCAAAAATCCACTTTGTAGTAAGTGCTTTTGCCTGAGAAGAGTGTCATAAATAATTGCTCCAGTTTTGAATCACTTTCAATCTCAGACAGCATTTCTGAAGTGCTTCTTGGGGATTTAGGAAATGGATTCTGAGCTACAAAAACTGGACTTGTCTCTAGATTGCGGGGAAAAAATCAGTGACAATGCAAAACAAACTCTAAGTATATAATTTCACTTGAAAATGAGATAAAAGTTAATGCAGTAAAATCAGCACCATCCACAAAGCTGGTTGGTGCCTCAAATCTAAAAAACTGAAGGGTGCTGGGGAGAGAGGCTCAGGGAACGAAGAATGTTTCCAGACCCTCTTCTGGGGTAGCGTGCGTGGAATAACTCACGTAGCAATGGCCTGCCGCTTCTGAAGTCTTTCATTATACAAACATGTTGCAGAAAAGTTAGTTAGAAAGTGCAAATAAATGAAGGATGAAATAAACATCACCCCCACTGCCATGACCCAGGGACAACCCTGTTAACACACTGGTGAACAAAATAGTCTTTCCAAACTATTTTTTATCAAGAGCAAAATTACATAAAATTTTCCTCAACAAAAATTGGATACCTTACATACTATTTGGAAACCTGGACTTCTTTTCTTTCCTTCTTTTAAAAAAGATTTTATGTATTTACATTTTCAGAGGGCGGGGGGAGGAGAAAGAGAGGGAGAGAAACATCAACGTACAAGAGATAACATGGTTGCCTTTTGCTTGGCCCACAACCCAGGCATATGCCCCAACAGGGAACTGGCAACCCCCCCAATTCACAGGCCAGTGTTCAATCCACTGAGCCACACCAGCCAAGGTGGACACCTGGCTTTCTTCATTTCTTATCTAGCCACCATCCTTTTTTTTAAATATATTTTTTATTTTATTAATTATGCCATTACATTTGTTCTATTTCCCCCTTCATTCCCCTCCACCCTGCACACCCCGCCCCCACCCCCCTTTAGTTCATGAACACGTCTCAAGTTCTTTAGATTCTATATTTCCCCTATTATTCTTACCCTCCCCCTATTTTCTATCTACTGTCTATGCTACTTATTTTCTGTACCTTCTCCCCCCTTCTCCTTCTCCCACTCCCCTGTTGCTAACCCTCCATGTGATCTTCATTTCTATGGTTCACTCCTGATCTAGCTGTCCTCTTAATTTGCTTTTGCTTTAGGTGTGGTTGTTAATAATTGTGAGTTTGCTGTCCTTTCACTGTTCATATTTTTTATCTTCTTTTTCTTAGGTAAGTCCCTTTAACATTTCATATAATAAGGGCTTGGTGATGATGAACTCCTTGAATTTGATCTTATCTGAGAAGCACTTTATCTGTCCTTCCATTATAAATGAAAACTTTGCAGGATAGAGCAATCTTGGTTGTAGGTCTTTGGTTTTCATGACTCGGAATACTTCTTTCCAGCCCCTTCTGGCCTGTAAGGTCTCTTTTGAGAAATCAGCTGACAGTCTGATGGGAACTCCTTTGTAGGTGACTGTCCCCTTATCTCTTGCTGCTTCTAGGATTCTCTCCTTCATTTTGATCTTGGGTAATGTAATTATGATGTGCCTTGGTGTGTTCCTTCTTGGGTCCAACTTCTTTGGGACTCTCTGAGCTTCCTGGATTTCCTAGAAGTCTATTTCCTTTGCCAGAATGGGGACGTTCTCTCTTTATTATTTGTTCAAATAAGGTGTTCCACTTGTGACTGTTCCTCTTCCCCCTTCTGGTACTCCTACAATTCGGATGTTGGAGCATTTAAAGATGTCCTGGAGGTTCCTAAGACTCTCCTCATTTTTTTGAATTCTTGTTTCTTGACTACTTTTCTGTTTGGTCATTTTTTCCTTCCTTCTGGTGCGCTCTCATTGATTTGAGTCCCAGTTTCCTTCTCATTGCTATTGGTGTCCTGTGCATTACCATTCATTTCAATTAGTTTAGCCTTCATATGTTCCTCTAATTTGTGGCTAAAACCAACCAGTTCTGTGAGCATCCTGATCACCAGTGTTTTGAACTATGCATCTGAAAGTTTGGCTATTTCTTCATCGCTTAGATTTATTGGCTCTGGGGCTCTGAGTTGTTCTTGAGCCATGTTTTGATCTGTTTGTGCCTCTTACGTATGAGGAGAGGCGCCTTAGTTGTTCACCAGGGCAGGGCCACCCAGGTCGCTGGTTTGTGACACTGTATGTGGAGGCGGGGTCAGAGAGGGAGCAATGGCGGTCCTCTCTGCCACCTCACCGCTGGCCTCGCCTATTTATCTGAGCACAAATGTGGGAGCCCGCCGCCTTGCCCCTGGGCAGGCGCAATCTGTCTCAATCCCTGTCTCTTCACTGGTTTATCTGCGCGCAAATACGCTATTGCAGACAGCCAGTTACTGCGCCTTCCCTGGGTCGCACCTGGGATCCCTGCCCTCGGCTGCCTGTGCACCGCCGGGTCGGGGGATCTTTTTTGCCCAACCTGTTCCGCTGCTGGCTTCGCCCCTCTCACTGGTTTAGCTGAGCGGTTCGTTATTTTTGGACTCTGTATTGTTCGATTTTCTGTGGTTTGGTTGCGTTTATTGTTGTTAAAACTTTATTGTTTTTACATTTGGTTGTGCGAGGAAGCAAAGTGTTTCCACCTACGCCTCCATCTTGGTGGGAGTCCTCTCACCACCATCCTTGCATGGCAAGAAATCATTTTGCCTCAGTGTTTTTAGTGGCTGAAGACTACTGCTTCTGTGCATGCACCAAAAAGTAACCGTTCTACCATTAGCACTCATTTCTGGCGTTTTGATCTCAGAACAATGCTGTCATGAGCTTTCTTTGCGGAGCCTGCACAAACAGAAGGCCATTTCTAAGCACCACATGCTGGACTATGGATAGATAGCATGTAGCACTGAAGAGGACGCTTCCCTGGGGATGGGCCAAGGGCCCCCTTCCGAAAGCTGCCCCTTCTCCAGTCTCCGGGGATCAGAGCCACTGATTGGAATGTGCTCTCTGTCCTGACTCTCCGCCTCATTTTAGGAATCACAAAGATCACCATTAAAAGGGAGACAGTTAAGCTGAATCCCAGGACCTTCCCCCAGTTTGTTGTCATCAGGTTGAGAGGTCAACATTCTCCGTGATTTGTGAGCACTGCACTTGCAGAACCCTCAGACTTCAGGCTCCCCATCCTGCAGGACCAAGGTTCTGTGTGGGGAAAGGATGAGGCAGAGCCTTGTACAAGAGCGAAGACCTTTGAGTAACTGAAGTGAAACGTACAGTCGAGGCAAACCAGACCCAGAACTTGGTTAATGACAATGACCTCAATTGTATTTTTGTTGTATGCTGAGACTTTACCTCCTTAAAGCACGGATTGGCAAGATGGTCAACATGAACCTTGTTATTAGAGCCGTTATTGTCACTGCCCCCACTGCCCCCCTGCACACACACACTGTGCCTTGAATTTTAAAATATATATATCCCTAGGGTCTGAAGTTTGGGGATGAGATCTCCTTTTTTAATGTTTTGATCCTTCTCCCCAAAAGTCAACTACAACGTGGAATTACACATTTCTGGACTCCTAAGTTAAAAGAATCTAGTCTTCTCTCCTCTAGTTAGAGATGTAGAGTAGAATCTTGAAAGGCTACAATCCATATTTTAAAATCCTGCTGAAAACAGACGATCACCTTGGATTTTGGAAGAGACACATGCCTCACCTGGAACGGGCCCCACAGCCCCCTCGGTCCACGTTAGCCAGCGGGGCCCCACTCTCGGGCTGAGTTCCAGGGACACCCACTCTCGGAGCGCTGCGTCCTGCTCCTCCTCAATCGTTGGGAGAATCGTCCTGGCCGAGAAGTCTCTTCGCACAAGGTCAGTGCTTATGTGAAAGATTCCTTTTTGGAACTTAACAAAATTCAATTTTATTCTCTACTGATACCCAGTTCTCTTGGTAACTTGATACTAAACACATTCTCCTTGAAATCAACAGACACATTTTAGGTTGAAACCAGTCTCACAGAAAAAAGGAGAAAAAGTCCATGTGGAGATGTGCTTTTAGGCCTTTTAAAAAAACCATGAAGTTTACTAACTGCCAGAGTGAGTAAACGGAGGCAAGACCTTGTCGGGTGCTGAAACAGACATTAAAACAATGGTACCATGATTAAATAAGTTTTTATTGTCACATTTAACTGCTTCGTCAGATACACATTGTAGACTTCGGTATGGCATAAAATAAAAATATATTCCTGAATGTCAAAATAGGAACAGGGCAGATGGCAATGGCACTTAAAAGAAAATTAAACTCACACTGGGGAGGAAGCCCTAGCAGGTGCTGAAACAGAGCACATTTGCAGGTGAGTGGTCTGTGGCGTTTCCAATCAAACGGCAGTGCTTTAAGGCCAACAGAACAGGAGACTAGAAAACACAGACCCCGCAGATGGGCGTCAAAAGAACGGCAGTTTCGGTGTTTCATTTTCAGTGTGTGTTGTCTGCTTGAGCACTGGCACTGGCTCAGTGAGCAAACCTCTCTTCTGCAAAATGAAACTGCTCTCTCAGAACCTGGATCAGGAGCCTCTCTGACAACCTCCTTATTTTCCCGCGTTTTAACTAGTCCAAAGGCAAGGCAGTCATGTTCCAAAGCATTCACTTCGTGGGCTGACCTTGCCATAAACGGTGGGTCTTGTCGTCCCCAAACCAGGAGCCTAAAATGCTCCTGAATGTCTGCAGTGGCATCACACGCTCTGGGCAAAACTAGAAAACAAGCACTAATTAAATAAAAATATAAGTGCATCCCAACAGGAACTCTCAACACATTCCACAATTATCCTCTGACTGGCAGCTTTAAGAAGTGTGGTTACTCAGATTGGAAACGAGTGTTCATTCACCGAGATTCCGACAGCTTACGAAACGTCTTTTCTCCACAAACAAAACCACCACTAGGATTTGTCGGAAGGTCTAAACGAGTTAGATGCCTTATGTGTGAACTCGGCTAAACTCACTGTGTCTGGAGTCTGCTCATCACACACCTCGGGTCGGAACCTGACCCCTCCTGGGGCCCACTGGTGACTGCCCTTCACTCAAGGCCCCAGAACAGAGACTGTAAATGTGGCTGGTGCAACACAGCACTCACTGTGATTCCACAAAAGGAAAATAAGTAATTTATTTTATGACATACGTATTTGGATGATTACTTACTGGTAATTAGTATTTCTACATGTTTTTAAAGGCAACCATTTTAAGTGACAATACATATCAGGCTAGTAGAAAAAGTGAAAACGAAGCCTTCTCTTTTGATCTCAGAGTCATGCAGACAAGAGAAGCTACATCCGATTTGTTCCAACCAGGCTCCTTCAAAGGATCAAAATTTCTTTTCCGGCAAAGATGAATTTGGCTCATCATAGAAAGAAGGGTCTTTGAAGGCTGCTGCTAAACTCATTTCCCTTTGAAAAAGTAAATTTCAAGGCATGATAGTGCAAGAGGTAAGTTTTTGATTTATAGAACATTTATAGACTAATTGTGCTTAGTCTCTAATTACCAATTTATTTTAAAGAACAGAAACTACGGTGATAAGTTTCTCTCTGCCTAAATTTACCAGTACATCCATGAATCGCACCAGAATGAGGACGATTTGATGATCTTAGTGATTCTGTCGCGACACCTGACACGGCGTCGGCAGGTGAGGCCCTTCGGAGGCGAGGCCCCTCCCAGTTCTGTGCCCGGGACTCTCTGGGAGCCCAGGGGTCCGAGAAAGCAGTTCTCCCTTCCAGACTGCATCCTCCGAACCCTCTCTGAATAAGCGACGAAGAGAGCGGGGAGAGTTTCCTCTGTTCAGTTAAATCTGGGACGTCTGAGTGTTCCTGGAGCCCCCGTCGGGATGTGTCACAGGTCGAGAATCCCTCGCGTGTGAGTATTCGCTATTAGGGGGCTCTGCAGGGTCAATCAAATTTTCGTAGTCGCTGTCGTCTGATTCCTCCACGCTGTCTCCAGCGGCTCCCTGGGAAGGAGGAAGGTCTGCTCCAGCTCCCGAGTACTTCAGTCCGGCGCTGCTGGGAGCGTAACTGGAAGAGCCCACAGCTTGAGGTCGAGGCATGAAGACACTCGTCTCCATGCGAGAATGGCTCAAAGTACTTTCTTGATTGTTTGGGTGGAAATCAGAGTAAGGGGGAGGGGGGTCAGAGGCCTCTGCGTCGGCCAGTGTACTTCTACCTTCAGTTGCAAAGCCCGCACAGGGCGTCCGCGGGCTGAGCGCCTGCTCAGAACTTTCAGACGGCATCTGCCTGCTCATCACGGCCTGCTGCAACGCTGGGAGGAAAGAGGAAGAACACTGTGACTCAGCCTGTCGTTTCCCAGCTGTGCACCTTAATGCCCTCAACTGCCAACCCGAATGTTCTGGAAAACAGCGACAAAGCAGTGACACCAATTACTACTGCTGTTTTACATTTGCACAGTACTTCATAATTTACAAAGCGCTTAACAGAGGTGGCCACCCGACTCCACCCCTCCCACTGGTCTGGATGAGCGTGTCTATTTTAACTCCTTGGTTGTCGGACTTCCGTACAGTCCAGTTTTCTTTCAGTTTTGACTATTGCTTTGTTTCTGAATTGTTGTCCTTATTTTGGTTGTTTGAGGAGGCACAGTGTGTCTACCTACCCCTCCATCTTGGCTGGAAGTCTATTTTTTTAATTTTTAGAGAGAGGAGCAAATGAAGGAGAGAAACAGCTATATTAGTTGCCTCTTTCGCACCCGCATCTGGGAACTTGGCCTGCAACCCAGGCATGTTCCCTGACTGGGGATCAAACAGGCAACCTTTGGTCTGCAGGCTGGTGCTCAATCCATTGAGCCATACCTCCTACGGCTAAATAGAATCTTTTTTAAGATATACTTTAAAAAACTGAAGGGTTGTAGACTCAGATATGGGGCTTTCAGAGCATCCATAAAAATGTGGTACAATTATGGCCCAGTACCTAGAAAAATTGGCCACTTAACAGAGGACCGTTCAGCTTTTAAGGGGAAAGAGGTCTGGGCATATATAGTGACAGGTGATTGTCAAGAAGAGTTTGTGACAGAGCCGAGGGCTTCCGCCAAGATGGAGGCATAGGTGGAAACACCGTGCCATCTCGCACAACCAAGTTTAAAAACAAAGTTTTAGCAACAAAAATGCAGCCAAACCACAGAAAATTGAATTATACCGAAGTTCAACAACAACGAACCCTTCAGCCAGACGGGTAAGAAGGGCAGAGCCAGCAGTGGAGCAGGTTGGCCAAAAAGATCCCCTGACCCAGGCGCGCAGGCAGCCAAGGGCGGATCCCAGGTGTGGGGTAGCAACAGGCGGACCCAGTGAAGGCACAAGACAGCAGGCTGACCATGGTCACACATTCGCACGCAGATAAACCAGCGAAGGAGCGAACAGTGAGACAGAATGAGCAGGCCCCAGAGGTGGGAAGGAGCAGAGGGGACAGCATATTGCTCCCTCTCTCACCCCACCCCCATATACAGTGTCACAAACCAGGGACCTGAGTGGACCCGCCCCAGTGAACAACTAGGGCTCCGCCCCTCTTACGTAACAGGGCAGGAACAGACAGCAAAACATGGCTCAAGAGAAAACCTCAGAGCCCCAGAGTCCATAAACCTAAGCGACACAGAGATAGCCAACCTATCAGAGGCACAGTTCAAAACACTGGTGATCAGGATGCTCACAGAACTGGTTGGTTTTAGCCACAAATTAGAGGAACATATGAAGGCTAAACTAATTGAAGTGAAGGAAAATGCACAGGAAACCAATAGTGATGGAAAGGAAACTGGGACTCAAATCAAGGGAGCAGACCAGAAGGAAGGAAAAAATGGCTAAACAGAAAATTATGAAGAAACAAGAAATCAAAAAAATGAGGAGAGGCTTAAGAACCTCCAGAACATCTTTAAACACTCCCACATCCAAATTATAGGGGTACCAGAAGGAGAAGAGGAACGGCCAAAAGTGGAACACTTATTTGAACAAATAATAAAGGAGGAGAACGTCCCCAATCTGGCAAAGGAAATAGACTTCTAGGAAATCCAGGAAGCTCAGAGAGTCCCAAAGAAGTTGGACCCAAGAAGGAACACACCAAGGCACATCATAATTACATTACCCAAGATCAAAATGAAGGAGAGAATCCTAGAAGCAGCAAGAGAAAAGGGGACAGTCACATAAAAAAGGAGTTCCCATCAGACTGTCAGCTGATTTCTCAAAAGAGACCTTACAGGCCAGAAGGGGCTGGAAAGAAGTATTCCAAGTCATGAAAGGCAAGGACCTACATCCAAGATTGCTCTATCCAGCAAAGCTTTAATTTAGAATGGAAGGACAGATAAAGCACTTCTCAGATAAGGTCAAGTTGAAGGAGTTCATCATCACCAAGCCCTTATTACATGAAATGTTAAAGGGACTTATCTAAGAAAAACAAGATAAAAAAACACGTATAGTAAAATGACGGCAAACTCACAATTATTAACAACCACACCTAAAACAAAAACAGACTAAGCAAACAACTAGAACAGGAACAGAAACACAGAAATGGAGATCACATGGAGAGTTAGCAACAGGGGGGCGGGAGGAGGAGAGGGGGCAAAAGGTACAGAGAATAAGTAGCATAGAAGGTAGGTAGAAAATAGGGAAGAGGGCAAGAACATTATGGGAAATGTAGAAGCTAAAGAATTTAAGACACATGGACATGAACTAAAGGGGGGGATGTGGGAAGGAGAGGGTGTGCAGGGTGGAGGGGAATGAAGGGGGAAATGGGACAACTGTAATAACATAATCAATGAAATATATTTAAAGAAAAAAATTAAATCTTTTAGACAAAGATTTTATTAATTTTTTTAGAGAGAGGGAAGGAGAAGGCGAAAAAAAGAGAAAGAAACATCAATCGGTTGCCTCTCGCACACGGCCCAACCGCAGACAGAACTTACAAGGCAGGCCTGTGCCCTGACCAGGAATCAAAACGGTGACCTTTAACTTTGTGGGACAAAGCCGACCAACTGAGCCACACCAGTCAGGGCTGAAGTACATTTTTAATATAAAAATGACACATACTTTGGCAAAATTCAGAAAAGAACAAAGAAAAATTGCCTATAAGTCCCTCAGCCAGATAACACTTAAAATTTTGGTAAAAATATCACAAGATTTGGGTTTAAAAATGTAAACTTTAGGTGTAAGGCCCCATTTATTTCCTGAACTCCCCTTTTTGCATCCAGCCTGTGCATGTTTTGCATATTTATGTAGACTTTAAACACAGCTGAGATCACATTGACACCATTTTATATCCTAGTGTTTTGCTTAAGATTACGTATTGTAATTAAAGATTCACTTCAATTGCTGTACAATACTCCATTATATAAACATACCAAAATTTATTCAATTGTGATACTACTGTTGTTAGTTCAACTATTTTAATAGGTCATTTCCAAGATTTTAGAATTAGAAAGCTGTGATTAACATTCTTGTGCATAAATCCCTATCTACACTTCTGATTATTTCTAGAGAACTGTAACAGTAGAAATGAATCAGTCATCATTTATTTAGAAGTATAAATTATATTTTAAGCCCTGGCTGGTGTAGCTCAGTGGATTGAGCACGGGCCTGAGAACCAAAGGATCGAGGTTCGATTCCCCGTCAGGGCACATGCCTGGGTAGCAGGCCAGTTCCCAGACAGGGATGCATCGGAAGCATCCATACACTGGTATTTCTCTCCTTCTCTCCTTCCCTTCCCTTCTAAAGATAAATAAATTAACTAATTAATTTTTAAAAAGAAATATAAATTATATTTTAATTGGTTTGCAAATATTACATTTTTAAACATTTTATTTACTTTAGAGCAAGGGGAGGAGAGGGGAAAGAGAGGCAGAGAAGCATCCATGTGAAAGAGAAACATCAATCAGTTGCCTCTCTTATGCTCCCCGTCTGGGCCAAACCTGCAACCCAGGCGTGTGCTCTGAGTGGGAATCAAACCAGCGACCTTTCACTTTGCAGACAATGCCCAACCAACAGAGCCACATGGGCCGGGGTGGTTTACGGATATTCGTATTAAATTACAAATGGTTAGCTACACCCTTCTCTCTTTTACACTTGATATTATTTGTCATACGTTTTATAAATTTTACTTACAAATATTACATGTGGTGGTATTATAGCAAACGTGCCTGTTGCTGAGTTGGAATTAATAGATTCTTGGGCCTAATTTTCATTCAACCAGCTTATCCTTTAGGTTAATGGTAGCCACCACCCACAGCTACCAGTAAACAGACATTTAAAGCCCTTGCTGTGACATTGCCTATGAACCAAGTATAAAGTTAAAAGAGTTTGCAGTAGGGCCTTTAAGTGGCCACAGGAGCCCAAGCCGCAGCCCCTGCTGGGCGCACCAGGGCTGCTGGGGGGGAAGGTCGCCCACTGTGCACAGGTCGCAGGGGTCAACATGCGCACCAGTCCGCACCAGTCACTTCTCAGGGCTCTGACTGGCTGTAGCCTTTCCACTGGGGTCTTCTTTTTCTTCCGGTCAGAGACTTGAGAAGGACATGTGAAACCTATCACTTCTCTTCTGAAAAAGCTTGAAGAAAAGTGGACGCTGCTCCCAAAGAGCCTAACTTGGGACTTGATGAGTACAGAAAGATTTATGTAATTTACTGTATAATTTGACGTTTAAAACCAAACACCTCCCTCCTACTGAATGGTAAAATAGGAAACTCACTTCTTTCTTGTTCTTTTTCATTTTTCCTCTGAGTTATTTGTCTTCTTAATTTGTTCACTTCTGCTTGATATGATTCGACTACTCGCTCACTCTTTTCTACATCTGCACACACTGCCTGAGGGAAAAATCACAATAAACACAATTAGTTTAAACCCACCCGTGAGGCCTCCCGTAAACACAGCATCCGCCGCAGACCTGGAGGGAGCCCGGGCGCTTCACGGGGCGAAAACCAGATACGTCACATAGAACCCACCCACCGAGGGCCACCAGACCAGCACTCTTCTCGTTCACAGACTTGCTTTCTTAAGATGATTATGCTGTTAGTGTACAAACTCTTGAAAAACAAGGATAAGTGGGAAAGATATATATTTTTCCTGGATTATTCATTTTATTGAAATGGGAAGCCAACTTCTGATACTGGTCCAGCGTACCAAGGACACAAAAAGGTAAGACAGGAATTAGATACTTTCGACTTTTATTTATAACCAATAGTCACAAATCAGATGACATTTAAAAGATTTATTTAACAGAAATATTTATAATTAGGGAGAGATAAAAAAGAAATTATCACTGCCAAGATTTATTTATTTATTTTAAAGATTTTATTTATTTATTTTTAGAAAGGAGAAGGGTGGGAGGAAGAGAGGGAGAGAACCATCAATGCGTGGTGCCTCTCGCACACCCCCAACTGGGGACCTGGCCTGCAACCCAGGCATGTGCCCTGACTGGGAATCGAACTGGCAACCTTTTGGTTTGTAGGCCTGCACTCAACCCACTGAGCCACGCCAACCAGGGCTCACAGTCGAGATTTAATAAACTGCCCTGACCTGGTAGCTCAGTTAGCTGGAGTATCATTCCTAATACACCGAGGTTGTGGGCTCAATCCCTGGTCAGGGCACATACAAGAGTCAACCAATGGCTCTGGCTGGTGTGGCTCAGTGGATTGAGTGACAGCGTGCAAACCAAGAGGTCACTGGTTTGATTCCCAGTCAAGGCACATGCCTGGGTTGCGGGCCGGGTCCCCAGGTGGGGGTATGTGAGAAGCAACCATGTATCTCTCTCACACTGATGTTCCTCTCCCTCTCTTTCTCCCTCCCTTCCCCTCTTTCTAAAAAGGTAAAAATAATCTGGAAAAAAAAAGAATCAACCAATGAATGCATAACTAAGTGGAAAAACAATTTGATGTTTCTCTTCTTTCCTCTCTTGCTCTAAAATCAATAAGTAAAAAATATTTAAGAAAAAGATTTAATGAAAGATAACTACTTGAGATTATGTCTACGTAATTTAACCATTCATGCCAGCGCACTCTATGTGATACTGGTGTTTCCAGGGCAGGCCTTATGAAATCGGCAGCGAACTAACAGCAACCCTGAAGTCCGCTGGTTGGTGCTGAGTCTAAAAACGGCATGGTCATGAATTCAGGACAAAAGGCTGTTTTTCACTGCTCGTTATGTCCATAGCAGAAATACCAGAAACTGCCAGAAAGTAGGCCGGTCACCAGTGAGCCAGCATGAAGTTCCCTATACTGCTAGGTGTACTTGACCCTGACTTGGAACACGGACCTGGGACACTGCCTATGGGATGCTTTCTTCTTTGGCCCCAGGCTGACCTCCGCCTACTTCCTCCTCCTCAGCGGCTGCCTTCCTTCCTCACTCCAGTCTTGGGGGGGCTTCTTCAGCTCCACCCCCTTCCTCCTGGTCCTCAAAGCCTCTTTTGTTCTTTGGGTTTTAGAGAAAATTACCCCTGAGACAGCATCAGGGGCTAAAGAACGTGGGACAGTGCTGTTAGCACCTAGCTCAGTATTTGGCTTGTAGGAGTTGTTTCCATGAACACTTGTTGCACGAATGAGCAGGAACGAACAGCTCCACCGTGGTCCTCCCAGTCAGAGCAGGCGCTGGGGCAAAGTGAGTGAACGAGAGGGGCGGATGCTGCGCCGCTCCGAGTCTGGGGCAGTCTCTACTCAGTTACAGCTGATGAGACAGCCGTGTTCTCAGCAATCCTGCTGCAAACTCGGGTGCATTTTCCCGGAAACAACAGTTACAAATGGGTCACGGGACTGAAAACAGTAACACTGCCACTGCGCCCCAGAGTGCCTGCTGCAGGCACTGAAGGGAAGATGGGCCTCTGCAGGCTGGCGCGGTGCCTGCTGGATGCGTCTGCCAGTGCTCTGGATGGGGCATCCTCACTTGTTGACCACGATTCCTCTGTCAGCCGGGGGATTATAAAAAACGAAAGATTAAAGGCATCTGGGCAGTACAAATAAGATAAGAACTAGGAAATAAATCAGTTACCTGCACTTTCTCCTGAAGTGCATTATAAACCTGATAAATCGCCCTGATGTCTTTCATTACTCCATCCTTGTCAAAGAAGTCAGTACTGGAAGACAGACAGAAAAAAGACGTCACAGAAGTTACTAAAACTGCTATGAGCCTGGACGGTATTTTCCTATCCTTTCCACCTCCATCTAGTACCTAAATGCTGCCTCTACAAGGTGATAATGTATCAGAAATAATATCCACACTACTAGAATTATAAAAGAGAAGTATAAAACAACCCACGTGATGAATACAATTTAAAAAAAATAAAAGCTATCCATCTTTTAGTGACCACAGTTATCTTTCAGGATCTCAGAATTATACATAGTCTAGACAAACTTTTATATCAATGACAAAAAAATTGTGGCAAATGATTAAAAAAAAGTAACGGTAAAAGTAAATGATCTTTTCAATAAGAACAAAATTTTGATACATAGTGGTGATGACAGAGAATGACCTCACCACATTTTGCAGTTTCAATCATATCAAACTTGATTTCATATTTCTCTATAAACCTTTTACATCTTAACAAAAGAAAAGAAAGAACTTTCCGTTTACCTTTCCACTTACCCATGTTCTTTAATAACTTTGGCATAACTCTGAGATGTATTTGGCACCGAGGATACTTTATACTCCTGCTGGCTGGTGTTGCCTAGGTTGGGAATCGCCAGGGATATCCTCTGATTGTACCTGGGGGCAGAGTCAAGGGCGCCCCGTTAACAGCACCGCTCTAGGTGAAGAGTGGGTCAGGGCAGGGGAGTCCGAGTCCCTGCCCTTGGGGACTACAGACAGGCCTCCCCACGCACCTGCTTCCATGCAACCTGAGGATGCGCGAACTGGCGATTCCTGTCCTTCCCTTAGAGCAGACACTTGATTGTCAACTCCCTGAGGGCAAAGGGCACTCTTAGGCGCCTTCTGCACCCCCACAGAGACTGGCAGAGCGCTGAGGATGTTGTATGTTCTCGAGAAATACTACTAATACATTAGTGCAGTCTTGCACGCGGCTATTTAAGGATTAATCATTATTTTCACTTATGTCAATTCAATTTATTCTACTGAAGGGAATTTAGTAGAATAAATTCTACTAAAAGTAGAATTTAGTAGAATTTCCAGAAAGAAACCTCTCTGTTGTTTATAGCAGAAATTGTGATCTACAGGATGCAAAACCCTCATTAACCAGCAGGTGGATCAATTTTACAATTCTGTCTTTAAAATCCATGCTTTAAAATGACGGACGTCCAGAGCGATAAAACTGCATTTCCACATAACGGTTTATGATGGTGATTTCCAGCTGTTTACTCCTATGAGAACTGATGTGTCATTAACACACCTTGCTAATGCTTCTTGATTCGAAGACAATTTTAATTTATACAACTAACTGACAGGAAAATGCCTGCTCTAACTACAAAGAACACTGGCTAAGCGGAAGTTACAGAAGCTTTTCTTTAGAGATGCTATCAGATGCACATTTTCAAAGTCATAAATCTTGATGACTTGTATCAACACCCTCGCTGTTTGTACAAGGCCTACTCACGCGGGAACGCCTTCTTTACCTTCGATTTGGTCTGAAGAGAACGTACTCTAGAGCGTGAGTGGAGCTGTTGGCGGTGGAGATGAAGCTGAAGAGGAGGAAGACGAGGTCGGGCACCCCGAGGATGCGGGTGAGCTGCTTGTGGAGGACCTGCTCTCTGTAGGACATCTGCTGCTGCGTGTTCCGCCGGAATCGGTACCACCCGATGACTTTCTGCCGCAGGAACAGAAAAAAAGTATTAAGAGCTCTATGAAGTCCCACAAATTTAGCCCTGAATGTATCCATACAGCACACGATGCCTGTACACAACGTTAATGGCTCTGTGTGCAACTGCTCAGGGTGGAAAATGGCCCCACTGCCCACCGACAGGGTAGACGGACTGGTGCAGCCACACTGGACACCCACTCAGCAATGAAAACCAACTACTGATACATACAAAACAGATGAATTCCAAAGTAATACGCTGAGTGAAAGAAGCCAGACCCAGACAAAAACTGATGCCGTGGGATCCACTCGTGAAATTCTAGAGCACGGAGACCAATCTACAGTGACAAGATACTGACCCACGGGGCGGGGGCTGACTGGGGTGGGGGTGGCGTGTGACAAGGAGGGACTGGAAAAGGGCCCAAGGAGACTGCGGTGGCAGACGTGGTCACTAGCTTAGGATGATGATGACGGTTTCATGGTGGATGCACTCATCAAAACTTATCGCAGTGTGCACTGTGAGTATATGCACTTTATTTTACAGCAATTATACCTCAATACAACGACAGACTGACACGCTTTAGCTCTGTCCGTTCTAACCCTGGGTTAACTGGGCTGGCTGAGTGAATTAAACTGACATGCTCTTGGGAACAATAGTTCTCCTCGTGTGATCAGCTGGACATCTGGAGGACGGATGACCGACAACACTTCCGGGAGCTCGCTAAAATGTTCCTGGGCCCCACCCAGACCTGCAGAATCAGAACCTTTGTGGGTAGAGCCAGGAATCTGAATTTAAGACAATTCCTTAAGTTTTTTTCTTGTGTATGTACTAAAGTTTGAAAATCACTGTTATAGAGACAATTCATTCTTTATTAGAATAAGAATCCTCACACAAGTTCTTTCTTTAAAATCTATTCCTTGAGTGAAAAAACATGTTTTAAGATATAAAAGTAGTTTAAAATTGTATAATGTTGCCCTGGCTGGTGTAGCTCGGTGGGTTGAGCACAGGCCTGAGAACCAAAGGGTCACCAGTTTGATTCCCAGTCAGGGCACATGCCTGGGTTGTGGGCCAGGTCCGTCCCCGTGAGGGGGCAGGAGAGAGGCAACCACACACTGATGAAAGACAACTTCTCTTTCTCTTTCGCTTCCCCTCTGTCTAAAAATGAACAAATACAATCTTAAAAAAAAAAAGCTGTGTCACGTTAAAATCAACAGTAAATCCAGATTACGTTTTGGCACTTTCGTGCAAGAAGGAAGCGAACCAACCTCTGCCGAGTCCCTCTGCCAGAGCCCCAGCCAACAATGCCCCAAACATTTTCATTAGTTATCACAACCACCCTGGGAGATCAGTAATGTTTTCTCCACTGAGTTCACATTACCGCGAGGGACTGCAGGGAATAAATAGTGCGTGCCTTCAAGTGGTGCTACTGAGCATAATGCATGACCTTAAGTTATATTACAGCAATTAATTTGATATTCTTTAAATGAAAAGAAAACCCAAACACTTCTGGCGGCATACAAGGTCTGTCCAGAAAAGTCCAGCAATTGTTACTATAATGAGGACAGTTTGCGTGACATCGATGTAACCTGGCAGCCAAGGAGAGTGGACTAGGATGTGCATGTGTGAACAATGACGACTCCACTGTACTCGGCAGTCGGGGTGGTAGAAGCCCTTGAGTGAACGTGTGTACTCTGTGGTTGTCACATTCAAAATGACTAAGCAATGCCCTGGCTAGTGTGGCTCAGTGGATTGAGCACGGGCATGGGAACCAAAGGGTCACAGGTTCAATTCCCAGTCAAGGCACACGTCTGGGTTGCAAGTCAAGTCCCCAGTAGGGGGTGCAAGAGAGGCAACCACACATTGATGTTTCTCTCCCTCTTTTTTCCCTCTCTTCCCTCTGTCTAAAAATAAATAAATATAATCTTTTAAAAAAAATTACTGAGTAGAGCGACAAATTAATTCATTAAATTTTTGTTCCATTCTTCAAATTTTTCAATTAAATATTAGATTTGCAGCCTGCCTGGTGGAGGTAATTTTTTTAAAGTTCCCATCATTTTCTTAAAAAGTGGATAGTAATTAAAACATTTTCTCTATGTCCAGCACTGTTTCAGGTACCTGTGTGGTTTTGAGCCTAACATTTCTAACGCGCCTTTCTAGGTAAGCACAATAACCCCTGTGAGGTGAAGACACACCTCTCCTGGGCGCTCAAAATGTAGACCAGAGTTAACCAGAAAGCTCTTTAGTTATCTAAATACTACACATCACCTTTGCTTTTATGGTAGAAATTTGGACTTTTGAAAAAATCCTTAAAGAGTTTATATTACGTACAAGGTACCACAGAAAATACAATGAAATACATAGTTTTTGCCCTTAACAAATATGAAAAATAAAAAACATTTGTTTTAGCACAAAGTTCTAGAAAATTAAAACCACAGATTGACTTTTAACTTTTTTGAGACTCTTGGCCTTAGGAAAATCAAAGTTAATTCCACAAAACAACCAATGTTTCGTCTACTGTGTCTCAAAACAGCAAATCTAATTTTAAAATCCCCAAGTCAATTTGGAAATGTGTCCATATCCACCACTAAAAAACCTACATAGTACTTTACAAAGCGCAGTACTTTCTAAAAATGCCTTTTCTAAAAAAATGTTCAGTTTCAGCTGGCATTCGGTGTTACACTGGTTTCAGGTGTACAGCCCAGGGGCCAGATATCCACGTCGCTTATGCATGACCACCCCACCCAATGTCAATTTGTAAAACACATTAAAAAAGAAGGCAAATGAAGTCTCCCTTCATCCGCAGCCCTTTCCCAAACTAACTACTTTTAAGTTTGGTTGGCTTGCTTCCAGATCTTTCTCTGTACATTCGAACACTCGTTCAGACTTGTTTTAAATAGGCCCAAATGATATTACTTCCTTCTTCACGTAACATTAACCTAGAGACCTCGCTGTGAAATGACCTGAGAACCCGCTTCGTTCTTTCCAATGGCTGCTTCCTAACCCACTGTACGGAGGTACCAACCTCGCTTACTTAACCATTCCCACTGGTGGACGTGTGGATTGGTTTCAAAATTCTCACTATTGCCAAAGATGCAACCAACACCCTCACACACGGTCAAGAGGCCAGACTGCCGGGTGTAAGCCTTGGCTCCACTGCTACTCACTGGGGACCGTAACCCAGTCACTTAACCTTTGTTGTGAATCAACTGGGAAAGCGGAGGATGGCAGCGAGGTGCCTCAGGGGCTGCTGCAAGGATGCAACGGGCCGCCACCCGGGGCTGCTTAGACATGGCCCGGCACAGACTGCAAGTGGCCAGTGACGCTGCTCTTTCCTACCTTTGTGCCTGGATGCTATTATTTACTTGGACCAGACTCCTAGAGGTGACCCTGCACATTGAAAATTCTGTTATTGCAACGCTCTCCTCCTAGACGTCCATACCAAGTCCCACCCCCACCTACAGCGCCAACACTGGCTGTTAGCAATCCTTTCATGCTCAGCCAGTCTAATAGGCAAAAAGAGTGTCATGTTGCTTTAACTTGTGTTTCCTGACAGAGGTCAGGCGTCTTTTCATTTATTTCTAGCCATTGTGGATTGCGTTTTGCTTTTTTGTGAATTTCCTTTTGATAACCTTTATTCATTTTTTCTCACTTGAAGTTTTTTCATCTATTAAAGAAAACTTCCTGGATTAAAAAAAACATATATTTTGTGGATTGAGTGTGGGCCTGTGAACCAGACAACTGCGGTTCGATTCCCAGTCAGGGCACATGCCTGGGTTGCAGGTCGGTTCCCTGCAGGCCAGTTTCCAGCAGGGGATGCACGAAAGGCAACCATACATTGATGTTTCTCTCCCTCTCTCCTTCCCTTCCCCTCTAAAGATAAATAAAATAAATCTTAAAAAAATATATATATATATATATATATTTTATTTATTTTTAGACAGAGGAGACGAGAAGGACAAAGAGAGGAAGAGAAACATCAACATGTGGTTGCCTCTCCTGTGTCCCCTACTGGGGACCTGGCTCCCAACCCAGGCATGTGCCCTGACTGGGAATCGAATCAGTGACCCTTTGCTTCACAGGCCCGAGCTCAATCCATTGAGCTACACCAGCCAGGGCACTTCCTGGATCTTTTAAAATAATTTATTGATTTTAGAGGGGGGGGGAGTTGGAAGGGAGGGATACAGGGAGAGGAAGAGAAAGAAACATCAATGTATTGTTCCATTTACTTATGCATTCATTGGTTGATCCCTGTATGTGCCCTGACCGGGGATCAAACCCACGACCTTGGAGTACAGTGATGACGCTTTAACCAACAGGGCTCTCTCCCCCTGGCCAGGGCTCTTCCTGGAACTTTTACTATATAGTGAAGGGTATAGAAAACTGTGCTCCAATAAAATTTTTCAGGGAACAGATTTTAGCTTTAGAAAGTGTAATAAAGATCCATTCTCTAAAAATATGGAAGTACATGGAAGGAGGCGGTGAGGCAGTGGTTGAGAGAAAAGGACAGACTGGAAGAGACTCCAGGATGTGGGCTCTCGGGCCAGTCGTTGGAAATGGGACAGTGGGGCCATGATGCCTGTGGCGGCTCTAACTCCCTTTCTCAGGTGGGCGGGAGGCCAGCTCAGACTCTGTGGATGCTGAGCACCCCCTGAGCTTGTTGTCACTTACAAAGCCGTGTGTCCTCTCTTCCAACCTAGCCCCGCCCCCAAACTCTGCACTCTTCCTTTGATCTCACCTGCTTCTCTTTCTCCCTTCACCCACAGGAGCACGGAGATGACGCTGGTGACAAACACCGCACTACTCTGGCCCCTGCACCCTTCTCAGACATGGTAGGGCCACACCCCACACTGCCAGGATTACTGTCATCCACAGGTAACGCTTTAAAAGCTTTTGGGGCCCTGGCTGGTGTAGCTCAGTGGATTGAGCACGGGCCTGTGAAGCAAAGGTTCACCGGTTCGATTCCCAGTCAGGGCACATGCCTGGGTTACAGGCCACGTCCCCAGTAGGGGACACATGAGAGGCACCACACATTGACGTTTCTCTCCCTCTCTTTCTCCTTCCCTTCCCCTCTCTCTAAAAATAAATAAATAAAAATATTTTCTAATAAAAAGCTTTTTTTGGTAATGTGTGCTTCTAAGCAAAGGCATTCTGCTTTTTGTTTGACAAGTTGAAAACTTTTATTGGCACCTTTTTTCCTTAAGTGATGGTTTAATAATCAATCTATTTTTCTGGAATTTACATACCAAGGTAAAAATTATAAAATTAATGCACGTTATGATATATTTACAAAATTATTTTAATTATAAGTAGAAAGACAAAACTACTCAGACTCAAATCAACTACTGTCAATTTTCAGATTATAGTTCATTTCTTTTTCTGATCTTTACATAATGGAATCATACTATAAATATCTAAACTTTTTTTTGTTGGTACGTTATAAACATTGTTTCACATCTGTAATTTATCTTTAAAATTACTCAAGGTAACAGAACTCTCATATATTAACATCAAGTTGCGCTGTTCATTTACACTCCTTTCTGGTTTTAAGCTTTGTGTGATGAGATAAGGACCGATGTCCAAGTCAGAACAGACAACAGAAGTCACAACATACCTTTCTCCGATCTTTGAGAATCCTGTCCAAACTCTCTTCATTAACTTTGCTTGCATAGTCATAAAAACTGTTTAAAAAAAAAAAGGATTAAAACCACATGACATTGTGACATGGATGTGCTCAGCTATGCGTGTCCACAGGCCATCTAATCCAACTCTATCTTGGTAACAGAGAACCGTCTTCCACAGGTAAACGAAGAGCAGTCTATCCACCCGCTTTGCTGACATGAGGTCTCTTTTGCATCATGTTTGGGGGGTCACTCCCATAGGGGGAGGTGCTGATAGCAACTGATTCCAAAGATGTGGCACCTTTTCCTTGTTTCTAAGTACTAATTACACATACATATATATATATGTAACTGCATATATATATTATATATATATATAATATATATATGCAGTTCATTTCCTGGGCAATGAAGGGAAATGAACACTTGTTGAATGCTTAATCAGAAACTTAGCTGCATGCTTTCTCCTGTCATTCATGTCATTCTTGCCTCAATGCTGGAGGTAGTAGTTTAGCCCAGAATATCAACAAGTTTTATTCCCATTTTTGCAGACGAAGATTACTGGAAGAGCCAGGACTTTGAGCCCAGGTGTGGCTGGCTCCAACTGAATGTGCTCCCCCCTAAAATGGACCACCCTGACCAGGGCCCTGTGCCGAGCGGGGCAGGCGCACTCGTGTGCGGGCCTTCCTCCCCGCCTCCCACCACAAGCCCAGGCCTTACAAGGGAGGAAGGAGTTCAGGATACAGGAGAAAGAGGTGGAGTCGGGAGGTGCCAGCTCCAGTGGGTCTGCCTCCCGCCTGTGATCTGGAGCACGTCGCTCAACCCATCTGCCTGCCCTCCATCTCCTTTGTTGCAAGGAGTCTGGGGCAGACGGACGGTTTCTAAGATTTCTTTCAGCTCTAAGAATTATGAGTCCATGATGAAACTGAGTTAAGTTCTTGTTCTGTTGGCTTTGCAGACAGCATTTTAAGGAATTTCTCAGAAGGGCAAGGCGGGGCACACCTAGTAAAGCTCTGGAGTAGTCAGGGCCCAAGTGTCGCTTTCTCAGCCTGGACACAGGCGCGCTGCGGACCAGGGCCTGAGCCCTTTCATTCGCTCTCAGATGCTTCCCCCCAGGAGCTGCTGCTGATTTGCTTCCTACTCCTCTCTCGGCCCCGTGTAAACCTAGAAGAGACAGGCTCCTCGCCTCCCTTGAGGCCTGTGCACAGGTGGCCATTTTGCATGAAAACTCTGAGGTAACGAGAGGGTGGGGGGGTGCGCACAGGAGATGAACACCAGTCCCCAGGGGCTTTGGTGCAGGGGGCCTGGTGTTGGGAGCTGCAGGGCAGGCACAGCCAGGTGCAGGGAGCTGGCAGGTGTTTAAGGAAGGAAGTGCTGATGGGAGCACTGGAGAGCAGCACTGCCGGGAGGGAGAGCAGGGCCTTGGGGAGTTTCCAAACAGGGAGACAGCACAGCATCCTCACACTGCCCTCGGGCGGCGGGGCTGGAGCTCCGAGGGCACCAGGGGCCCGGGGGGAGCCTGCGGAGCACCGCCAGTGTGCGGGACACCGGCCCTTTCACCCGCCCCTCCCCGCCCACAGGTCTCTCTGTCATTTGCTGTCTCCCTTCTGAATGCCTCTCCTCCCATTTTTTTCTCTTTCTGTCCTTTAGTTCGTCATAATATGCAACTGATGTATATTAACTGAAACACAAAAAGAAACTTTTATGTTCTCCTTGGTTGCATTTTAAAGTGGAATATTCTAAAGCGAGTGGTTTTCATTCCTCCTAAAACCCCCCCCTCTGTTATTTTACCTATATGTGATCCTGGCTGACTCCCTTCTCTGGGGTCGAAGAACTCTTGCCAGGGAGGCGAGTGGGAGCTTCCACAACAAACCACTGCGAACAAGACTTACGAGAGGCACACGGGGTTTGTGCCTCCCCTTTGCTAACCTGACGCCGTACCACACACACACGTGGTGCTCAATGAGTACGTGGGTTTGGAGGCCCTTGGTTACACTTGTGCGTCCCTAGCCATAATTAGCTACAGGCATAAATTCACTAGTTTTTAGTCAATTAATCTTTTAGTAAGCTAAAAGCCACAAAGAAGGGTGTGACTTACCTAAAAAGTTTTGAACAAGGCTGATGGTTATGGATTTCTGTAATTAGAAAGAGAAAATACATATTAATCACATGATATACAGACAACTAAAAAGTAGCCCAGGATTTTTCTCCCCAAAATCTCAGGCAATAAAAAGATAGTTTTCCACCCTGGCTGGTGTAGCTCAGTGGACTGAGCTAGGGTTACGAACCAAAGGGTCACCAGTTTGATCCCCAGTCAGGGCACATGACTGGGATGCAGGCCAGGTTCCCAGTATGGGGCATGTGAGCGTCAACCACACACTGATACTTCTCTCCTTTTCCTTCTCCCTCTCTAAAAATGAACAAGTAATATCTTAAAAAAAAAAAGAAGATAGTTCTCCTCTTCCGAATAGGCACTGTTGTATATACTAGTGAAGCACTGTACTTTCATAATATTTCAACACAGAGGCCCATTCTCAGAAGCAAGTAAACCGGAGAAGGGCGTTCTGTCTTCACCTGCCTGGATCCGACAAGCCTGCGCTGACCACTTGTGTGCGGGAGCAGGCGGCACCAGGCACCCTCTTCAGTCCCACCCGGTCTGAGCAAGCAGGGGAGAGTCGCCTGATGCATTTGGTCCTGGTAGGTAAAGGCTGCGGCACAGCCTGGGAGGGGCCTTCCCTACCCTACCGTCTGTAACTTACTAACAACTCCTGACAACTTGGGCCAGGTGCTTTGAAGGGGAAGGGAGGAAACTCTGGAAGTCTATTAACCCTTTCAAAGATGGTCAGCATCAAGGGAAACTGGTATTTATGAGGCAGATCTGAAAAGACTGCTGTGATTAACCAGAACAATTCCTTCAAGCTCATCAGGGGCCCGGGCTCCGGCTTGCTTTATAAGACCATGAGACTAATTAACCATTCAATTCTATTAGGAACATTCTCCTGGACAGCAACTCATTACCTGCTGTTTAAAATGTCACAGCCCGGAGTTACAGGCTGCAGTTTTAACTCAATTAAAACAAAACCACAACCCTAAAAGACACAGGGCTGTTCGCCTCTGTACTGCTGTCACTGCCGCCAAAGCACATAGCACATGCGCCGATGCAGCGCTTCCACAGGAAAGAAAACTTTGTTTCCCCAGGAGGCTGTTGACATAGTGATACAAATAAGCAAGCCTCATCTACAATAGAAACATGCCCTTCTTCTATCACCAAAATGATACTGTTACACCTTCCTAAGTTATTTCAGAGATTCTTTTAGCAAAGTAATTAGAATGTGAAACATCTGTAGCAAAACATTATCTAGACTTCAGGGAAAAGGAAAAAAACCCATCTTCTACTTGACAGGGAAGAATATTTTAAGAAAATCCCTGGAGTAAATGCTGAACTCTGAACACACCTCCCGTCATCGATCCGCCCCAGCAGACTCCTTTCCCGACTTACAACCTGGCTCGGAGGCGCACTGAAGATACGCTCTAGGTACTGTGGATTTCCTGAAGAAGCCGAAGCTTTCTCCTGCGAGATTTTCCGCAACCCCTGACCAAGCACTCCACGGAGCAAACAGGCCGATGGCCTCCAACGCGACAACACTGAAGAGCAGCGTGAGGTTCACGGGCACGTTAGCTGATGGGTGGGCCTTTGGCAGGGCAGCCTCCCGGGGATGCCAGGCTTTCCCACGCACACCCAGAGCACATCTCCGCTGCAGACTCCGCATCACGGGGGTGTGGCGACTGCACACACCCATCCGTACAAACCGCTGCCGGGCGGTGCTCCTGCTCCTGCTCCCCTTCCCATCTCTGCTTCTCCTCCCCTCCCCTCCATTCCTTCTAGTAACTGCCCCCACCTCACCTCACTAACCAGGGGAACGCCTGCTGTCTCAGAGGGCTCTGCCCCACGTGAGTTAGCATGGCTTTTAGAGTTAATGTGCATTCAAAACATGACACAGAGATTTCATGTTCAAAGGTGATACTCAATATGAAGTCTCCCTCACTGTGCAGAGTCCAGTAAAGATGTCTGTGCATGGGCTCACACATTTCGACAAATAATACGTTCGGTCTATTTGTTTTATTTAAAACATCCTATTCTGGAGGTTACGTTATGCCAGAAAATTTGTTCACGTTATCACTATGAAAAACCACTCATGGTACTTTGCTTAATGTTTGGCCTTTCCAGAGCCCCTGGTTTACACTTTCTAACAGAATTCTATGTATTTACTTACTTATTTATAAAGCATAGTTGGCATACAGTATTGTATTAGTTTCCGGTTTACAACACAGTGATTCACACGCCTCAAGACACTATCGCCACAGCAGTCTAGCAACTGCCCGTCACAGCACATGGGAGCGATGACAAGAATGACCCTGTCCCTGTGCTGTACATTACATCCCACGACTAATTTGAAAACCGGGAGTCTGTCGTGCTTAACCCCCTCCCCCTTCACTGCCCTCCAGCCCCCTCCTCTCGGACAATCATCAGTTGCTCTCTATGCCTGAACCTGTTTGTTTTGTGTTTTAGATTCCACATACGAGTGAGTTCACATGGTACTTGTCTTCCTCTGCTCAACTTTTTCACTTACATAACACTCTCTAGTTCCACCAATGTGGTCACAAACGGCAAGATCTCAGTCTGTTTCATGGCGCTTACAGCACGCTGCCTCTTGTGCGTGCGCCCACACACCTGCCTGCTGATGTGCAGAGGCTGCACCAGACCTCGGCTCTTGTAGACGGCACTTGGGGAGCACAGGGGGGTGCCCACTTCCAAACTGCTGCTTCCATTTCTTCGGATGAACACCCGGATGTGGACTGTCGTGCACGGCGATTCCACTTGAAACGTCCGAGGACCCCGCAGACTGGCTGCACCAACACACACTCCGACCAGGGGTGCGCTGGGTTCTCCACATCCTAGAAAACGTGTGCTCCTTGTTGTCTTCTGGATAACAGCCATTCTGATAGGCGTGCGGCCATTATTTTCCTGGCTTTGATTTTGATTTCCTGACAATTAGTGATGTGCAGCATCTTTTCAGGTATCTGTTGGCCATCTGCATGTCTTCTTTGAAGAAATGTCTATTCAGATCCTCTGCCCACTTTCAAATTGGATTGCTTGTTTTTTGACGCTGAATTGTTGTAAGTTCTTTATATATTTTGGATATTGACCCCTATTGGCTATATCATTAGCAACTACCTTCTCTTTACTCAAAGTAGGCTGCCTTTTCAGTTGATTGATGATTTTCTTCACTGTTCAAAAACTTTTTAGTTTAACGGAATCCCATCTGGCCCTGGCTGGTGTGGCTCAGTGGACTGAGTGTTAGCCTGAGAACAAAGGGTCACCAGTTCCATTCCCAGTCAGGGCACATGCCTGGGTTGCAGGCCAGGTCCCCAGTGTGGGGCACGCAAGATGCAACCACACACTGATGTTTCTCTCCCTCTCCTTCTCCATCCCTTCCTCTCTCTCTAAAAATAAATAAATATTTTTTTAAAACCCCATATAATTTTTTTCTTTTGTTGCTCTTGCCCAGGGAGACATATCCAAAAACATAAGAGTAAAGTCAAAAGAGTTCACTGCCTATGTTTTCTTCTAAGAGTTTGATAGTTTCAGGGATTACATTTAAGTCTTTAATCCATAATATGTATTTATCTTTAAAAAGAAGATAACAATACATTTAAGATAATACTAGTAAACACTTTGTCCATGAGATCCATAACCATTCAAGTAATAAACTGAAGGCAGGTCATAAAATAAAGGTTGTCCAGTAACAGACATCTGTCATAGCACTGTGTTAATTGGACTCTATGGAAATGGGTATTTATTGCAAGAACCAGAAGATTTATGATTCAAAGAATCACTACATTATGCTGTGGAATTTGAATTACTTTCTAATGCTATTTCTTTAAAAATGAACAGCTAGAATATTAATCAGAAATGCTATTTTTGTGATCATGCCAGATAAGGGAGCCTTTTCTTGCATGGTTTGCTGTCAGTTTACCACATCTGGCATTTTAACCTTCACCTACCAAATTAATTTAGAAAACTCCAGTGTAAACACTGAATCAGTGCACCAATGTGCAGAGAAACCAAATTCTCCCCTTCGGGATTTTGAAGAGTTAAACAAAACAAAACAAAACAAAAAAAGCGAAACCTCAATGAGAAAACGCTATACTTGCAAGTGCCAAGTCTTTACTTAACAAGTCAATACTGTGGAAGTGCGTTACAGCTCCGGACCTGCAGGAGAGAGTTCAGTCTCTTCCCCCAGTCCTGGCCCTCCCTGACTCTGACCTCCCGATCCAGGTACGAGAAGGCTGTCAGCACAGGCCTGAATAATGGCGTAGCCCCAGCATGACCTGGCCTTCAGGAAGTATTTCGAACTACCCACTGTCACACCTCACACCAACTGTGTCTGGGTCTCAGAAACAGGCCAGAACCCTGCCTGTTTCACTCACTCCTTGCCATGCCCCTCCGAACGCACCACCCTGGCTTCGAGTTCACCTCCTTCATGACGTCTGTGCTGACGTCACCCACTAGCAGCTCCCCGCACCCAATCCATGGGACTTGTTCATTCCTCCTTTCCAGAACTCATCTTTGCGCTGCTGGTATTTCTGTACACTTGTGTTATCCTCCCCACTCTCCTGGAAGGCCTGATGCATCTGGATATGCTTCTCACCGCCTGGCATGCGCCTTCACATCAATAAATGGGGGCTGTGTAAGTGAGTAAAATGCCCCTTGCTATGTTCCGAGCATCGGGATATGTTGTTTGGAGATACACTTGAGGTACAGCTACAAGGACTATGCTCCTTGCTGATGAGAAGACTGACCCAAAGAGAGCAAGTGCATCTACTAATGCTCCTTCATCTTTCTCCTAAACTGGCTGTTTGACTTCTTCAAAGGCTGTACAGATTTAGCAAATATCTTACGTAAATGAGTGTGAACATCTTCGCCAGACTCCTTCAGAAAGGATGTGTAACATACCCTTTCATTGTGGTAGGAGGTGATGTTGGCAATGGGGACAGCCTCATCTGCAAACTTGAGGTTCACAGTGGTTTTAAAGAGACTATTACGTGCCACAGCACATAGAAATTCAGTCCATGTCAGGTCAGTTAGTGGGTCAGGGGCAGCTCTATGGAATACCCAAACCTACGGCTACGTGCTGTACATTTATACCGACTTATAAGAACATTTCATAACACTAGTGCAAACAGCTGCACTTTGATTTGAGTGTTTTCTATGTGCCTTTCTCATCTTTGAGGTTAAAATCAGTAAAGGGCTAAAGAACAAACAGTACATATTTAAAAAAGTATTTTGAAGGTCTGTGATAAACTTACTTACCGATGACTTGCAGAAACTCTGTGTTGCTAATTTGTGAGTCACTGATGCTAAAGGTTTCCTCTTGTCTTACCTCTCCCAGCAAAAATCCTTCCTAAAGGTAAGAAAAGAAAATAGTTGCAGACTAAAAATAAATATGATTTTTACTGGTATTAGGAGGAATTTAGGACATAAATCCAACAATAATCCAAATAAGCTCAGCATGCGAACTACCATTGTATAAATCAGTAAGACAAAAGCAATCTGAAATGTATTAACTGGATTGTTTGAAAAAAGGATCCCATGCAAGAGGAAATATTATTTTAATCCCTTCAAGTTTTCCCTGCTTTTTTTGCAGCAAAAATGAGTACAGTGAATTCATCCCCTAAATCCCACTAAGTAGAATAACTAATGTCGAAAAAGCTCAGGAAGAAGAACTATTCCAAGCTTGTTTTCTTGAATCAGGAAACAATTTATGTCATTGTATTAGAAACAGCGCTAATGATAAAAGAATAAAGAAGTTAACACAACGCACAACTAATTGCTCTCGTATAAGCTGGCGTGGGAAATTAGGGTCTCAGTGACTAAATTCCTATCACTCACATGAAAGTGCTTCCTTAGTACATGCGGAGACTTGTTTATTTACACCTTTGGGGGACATCTGCCACCAGGATCAGTTCTGGGTCACTCAGCATACAACCCACCACCAGAGCACTCGCTGTCATGCTTAGCACAAGCAGTAGAAGAACGGAGACCCTAAATATCGAAATAACCTCCCTGTACAGATGGGGGTCCTGGAACTCCTTCCCCAGACACTTGTGCGGCTTCCTCCTTCCCTTAGGCTCTTTACTCAAAAGGCATGTAACCAGAGAGGCCTTCCCTGGCCAACGTAACGAAAACAGCACCTGCCAGGCACTCTGTCCCCTTTACCCTGCATTCTCTTCCTCTGTAGTGTTCTGTCATGTTACATTTTAAATGAATAAATGCCTAGTCCCCACTCCAGTGTAAGCTTTGCGAGAGCAGGGACATCGTGCTTGTTTACTGCTCTATCTCAGCACCTAGCACAGTGCCAAACAACTACCAAGTACTCAATAAATACTGGCTGAGGAAACTTACTGATACAATGCCCTTTGCTATATACCTTTTTATATTCTAGGGTGATCCTTCAAATCAATTAAAGAAAGTTCCTAGTTCAAGAACATTGGCCATGGAAGTGTGAATTTGTGGGAGTGAGGAGGGAGAGAGAGATGCTTTATAGCACAGCTTTTGTACTGAATTAGGGGAGCGGGTGTCCTGAAATCCCAAACCATCATGTACAGGGCATTGCTCAAACGTGAGAAATAAAGGAATCTCCTTAAAAAAGTGATCTCATATGTGAAGAAGTGACCATGACTACTAGTTTGAAAAACACTGACTGAAAAAAAGCTTCTTTTATCTTATAAAAGTCTTTCAGTTACAAGTTCTCACTACAAAAGAAAAATCTTGTAACAGAGAAAAAAACTAAAATTTCTACAGAACTTTAGACCTTAAGAACACACCTACAGATTCCTAGTGTTCCAGTCTAGAATTGCCAGACTTAGCAAATAAAAATACAAGACACCCAGTTAAATTTGAATTTCAGATAAACAACATATCATTTTTATGTAATATTTGGGATATAGTTATACTGAAAATTTTTTTAAATCTGAAATTCAAATTTACCTGGGTGCCCTATATTTTATCTGGCAACTCTACTGCAGTTCTCGTTTTGAAAAAGTCGACAGTGACATCAAGACATTCTAAAGCCAACTGTAAAGTAAATGCTTATATATCTACTGGTCTGGGACTATCTGGGCCACTGTTACTTTATAGCACGAGTAGGCAAACTTACAGTGTGTGGGTGGAATGCCGCCTAATGCCTATGATTGCACAGCCCACAGGCTAAGAGTGATTTCTATACTTTCAAATGGCTGAAAAAAATTAAAAAGGATTCTTTCATGATGTGAAAATTTTATGAAATTCAAATTTCAGTGTCCATAAATAAAGTTTACCCGAAACAGTCACCCCACTTTACTCGTCATCTGTGGCTGCTTTCTCCTGACAGCGGCAGAGCTGAGTAGCTGTCAGAGGCCGCGTGGGCCCCCAAGCCTAAAACACTTACTGTGTGGCTCTCTACAGACAAAGCTGGTTACCCCCAACTGATTTCTTGCCTGGATGAAATGAGAATGTACCACAAAAGCAAATCCTCGGTTCTTCAACTTTGAAATATATGCAATTAAAATAACTTTATTCCACATCTATAACTGTGTCAAGGTTAATATACACAGGTATGGTCATATCCAATACAGTTGCAAACTATTCTCATTGGCAAAAATTTCCATGATATCTGGCCACCATACCTGACACAGGGTAGATGAGCTGTCTCCTGAACTATATTAATTCCAATCCAAGTAATACGACCATCCCACTGCTGTCTGCAGAAAAACTTATCCCCTTTTCAACAGGTAGCTGCTTATTCTTACGATAACCTTGTCCCACACCTAATCTGTGACATTACTAGGCAATCCAAAAATCGGAGGTGAAGAAGCACTATTTCAACAGTATCTCACACTTCCACAGAGAGGAGATGCATCACAAAGCACCCATACAAGGAACTGCATCACATTATTAAACGGCCTGCTGCAGTATCAAAGGCCTGAGCACCCAGAGACAGGAGCGGCCTCTGGAAAAGCCCACGTCGTGTATATTCTTACCATTAATCTCTACCATTGGCACTGGAGAGACAAAAGGTACATTAATTTAATGTTATCTAATTTACTAATGGAATCACCTCTCTACAAGTTTTTATTAATGGAAGCTAAGATTGCTGACATCCAGCCAAATCCAGTTCCTCCTTCTGCAGTGTATAATTTTGCTTTGTAATGACAGCCACACACACACACACACACACACACACACACACACACACAAACCCCACCCTTATTTAGTGAATTTGAAAAACTCTTAACATCATTTAAAATAAACCCCCAATTTGGCAAGCAAATTAAACACTTCCTTACAGATAAAAAACTATCTAGTTTCACAAAGAATTTCCATTCTGAGGTCAGTCACACTAGGACAACAGAATAAAGACACCGAAGCAGACAGGCTCTGCTTGCTCTGAGGCCTCCAAAGCCTGTGCATTTCCGATCACTCACGCGTAGGCCTGTCACTTCCCCATTTCACTGCGACTTAGTTCCGTGATCTTAGGACACGTGCCGAGGAAATAAACATGCAACTTCAGGGCAAGTAGACCCCACACCTAACACTCCTGTTTACACTCTCCGTTTTCCATCGAGGAGAAGAAAACACATGAGCATATGTAACAAGTATGAATGGTGACAGCCATGGTTTCCCTTGTCGCACCCCACGACAACCTGTGAGACGAGCGGGCGGGGCCGGGCGCCTGGGCTCCTTCCCGACCCCGGGCTCCCTTCACAAGTCTAGAAGCCTGACAGTCAGGGAAGGGCAGGCGCTCCGATTCCACTAAGCGACCTCTGACACTAGCAGCGGCCGGCCGGGCCAGCTTTGATAAACCGCAGACCGCTGTCCTGGGACGGTCGGTCGGCCGAAGGCACCGAGCGAGGTGGGCCCATCCCGAGGGAGAACGAGCCCCGGGCAGCAGTAGCTCGCCAGGGGCGGGAGCAGCCCGGGTCACCAGCTCCTGGGCCGGCCGGTGAGCCTGGGGCAAGAGCCGCAAGTGGTCCCAGCTTAGCGAGAGACAGAGGCTGGAGGCCCCAGCGGCCACGGCGGAGGTCCCAGCACCTACGTGGTCGGCGTTGCTGTTGGCGCTGTGGAAACACACAGCGCTGAAGGTGTAGCCCGAAATGGAAGCCGCCATGATGGAAATCTCCAACTCCCCCATCATGCCCCGCGGAGGGCACGCAGTCTTCCGGCCGGCCTTGTCCCTTGGCATCCTGGGAAATGAAGTCTTCGGCGGTTGAGGCCGGGAGGTCGGAGTGCGCCCGGCATGTAGGCTGAGAAGTGCAGGTTTACCCTATCAGGAGGACTCCTGTACCCATCGGTGGGTTCACGCCAGGCACACTCCAGACTTTGCATCTGCGGTATAGCCTCTCATAGTTTCGCAAGCCATTTTTTTTTGCAATAAAATTGTTAATGTTAAGATCCAACATTGGCCGTACTCGAGGACGATCAGAAAGAGATGATTCAGGCAATTGTATGTTTTTGGGTTCGATATATAATAGAAGTAACCCGATGTGATTTCAACTTCCATATGACCATTCTGGCTGCAATGTCAGGAATATATTGCCAGGGGAGAGAGAAGACATTATTACAATAATCCAGACTCGGGGTGATGGTGTTTTGCGGGGTGGTTAGAAGTGAAATTGGGAAGTGAGGGTGGCGGAGGATGGTAAAAGAAGCGATTGGATTCTGGGTACAAGGGAAGACAAGTGAAATGAGTAATAATCAAAAGAGGATGCAAACGACATAAATAATAAGTAAAAGTGAAAATAAATTATAACAAAGTTAGGAAAAGAAACTCAAGGAAAGAACAAACTCACCTTTCTAATCATTATTCTTTCATTAGTTCCATCTTTCTGGTTCAAAACTGGGCTCTTGATCGCCCACAAAACTCTTACTGCATTCTTTCCAAGTAAATAGAACTGTTTTTTGGACAGTTGGGCAGGACAACCTTGGAATCGCTCTTGACCTCCCATTTTGATCAGTCAGCGGTCTTCAAAATCTGTCAAAACATATGGCTTTTGTGACCTGTGAGCCTGAGCAACCCAAAAGAAGGCAGAGAAAACCCAAAAGAAGGCAGAGGAAGGTTGAAAAACAACCCCGAGCCCAGACACCAAGACCAGGAGGAGCTGTGTGGGGAGCACGAGGAAAGGACTAGAAGGACACTCTGCCCTGTGAGAGGGTAGGATGGTCAGACACCAGCGGGATGAGAACACAGGAAAGAGAGGGTCTGGAGGCGTGGGAGCTTCGAGTTGAGTTTAATGTAACAAGGCATCATCCAGGCTGCTGCAGTAGGAGTCTGGAGCTGATGGTAGAGGGTGGAATTGGAAGTCACTAATAGTGAGAACAATAGCTCACATTTACTGAATAAACACCCATCATCTGGCAGGCTCTGTTAGGCTCTTCACATGTACAGTGTATTGACATTTAATCTTGCTAACAAACTTCTGAAATAGACCCATTTTAAACTCTATTTTGTGGTTAAACAAACTGAGGTTGCATTTACTGAGCATTTATACATCAGGCACATAGGATTTTATAGAAATCATCTCATTCATCTCTACAGCTGCCCTATGCCATAGGCACTATTATTATCCTTGTTACAAGAACGGGCACACAGAGGCCTTGGGAAGCACAGGAATTCACCCACAGCCACACATGGCAAAGCCAAGGCTAAACCCTGGCAGTCCATCTTGAGCCCTTTTTGAAGACTCACTTAAGAGCAGGTGGTGATAGGGGAAAAGGAAGGGTTTCGAAGAAAGGTGTGCTAAGCTGTGTTGACCCCTGCGGGATTCATCAAGAGAGGTGAAGCCTGGAACTTGACCCTTGACTTGCCAACTTGGAAGCTGTTGAGAACTCTAGAAAGCCCAGTTCCAGACATATTGTAGGTGAGCAGGGTACCGTGTGGCAGGAATTGGCAGGCGGAGAGAGAGAGACAGGCAACCCCTAGGACTTGCAGATCTGTCCTCCTGCCCCATGAAACAGGCACCGGTGCGAGGCACTGTGTTCCTGGGCATGTTACAGCTTTTCCCTGGTGATGGGCAACTCTGTTGGGACTAAGCTTCTCCCTCCTCCCCCAAGAATCTCGTTGTCCTGAGTGATCAGAGGTGGTACCCTACACAGCCTTCAGGACTAAACAGCCAGAGCAATCCCAGAGCCACAGAAGGAACTCTTTATAAACCGTGGGTTTTTCCAGGGCTCCGTACCAACAAGTGTTTATAGCATTCATCACACACAGTGAAAACAACTTAAGTGTTGGCAAGACATCAGATTGCAGATGGCTTTATCTTTCATGGGTACTTCATAATTATAACCTAAAACTTCTTAAGACCCAGTCAGTCACATTCAAGCTTGCTTTCTCTAGCATCTAAAGTCTAGAAAAGATGAAAACAACCATTCGCCCAGGGCTGCACTAATTGGCTGTGGCATCCGGTGGTTTTATTACTCTGTAATAAGGTTACTTACGCTCTTTCGTGGGTTCTTTAATCACTACACACATGGACTCCCTTCTGTCTTTTACTGCATTTTGTCACTGGAGGTTGCCTGGAGATCTTGGAATGCCTTGTATAGGAGAAGATGCACATTCTGTCCTAATTGGGATTTCTGGGAGCTGGAAAGGCAACTGCTGAGATTGTTTACCTCTGGGGACTTAGTCTGCAGAGTCAACAGAAACGTGGCCTAGGAAAGTTTCCTTTTGGTTTGAAGGTAGCCTTGCCAGGGGCCTTCCCTTGCCAGAGGTCCTTGCCTAGGACATTGAACTACCAGTATGTCATTGCTGCTGCAAAAAACCTTGCAGACCTTGGGCACATAAGATCTCTTGCATTGCGCTGCGGAACTACCAACGGCAGTCAGACCAAGACGCAGAGGAATTTCCACATCCCTGGTCCTGAGCAATCTCGTAGGACAGTCACCATCTACATGGGGCGAGGTCCAGGTGTGGAAAGGGACGCACACAGACGTTGGGAGTCTTGGACCGGCAGGGCGCCAGGCGAGGGCGGAGGGGAGAGGGGCCTCCGGATGTGCGGACTCCCACCCAGCACTCTTTCTTCCGCAACACTCCGATCCCGTAGACTGGTGTGTTTTGGGGTGAGGTGGGGTGGGGTTATAGGACATTCTTTTCTCTGGGCATAAACTCCCATGTCCACCTAGTGATGTCCTGGCAGAAGAGGCCAGAATGTTATTTTCGAGGCAGAATCCCAGCCACAAATAGAATTGAATTAGCCGGAAGCCAAACAATGATTCCCAGATCTGCCCACAGTGCGGAGAGATGAGGTGATTTGTGTGTTTGGGTTGAGCAGTGTGGGCTTTACGTTTTTAGTGTGGTTTATCCACCGCCAGTCTTTTTCCAAAATTCAGCACCTTGAATAGTCCCTTACAAACAACAGTTCCCAAATATAGTGGCCCGCTGGCGAGCACCTTGAGGAAGGGCTGGCACCTGACCTTAGATGCAGGGGGCAGAAGGCAGAGGCGAGGCCCAGCCTGGCCAAAGTCTGTGTTTGGGGGACGAAGGTGGAGCCTGGACCCAGCGGGCCGGGAGCAGTAGAGACGGCAGCCTCCCTTGTGCCTAGAGACGCCACCCAGCACGTCCGCGCTGCCCCGCGCCTCATCTCTATGGCGGCCACTCGGCGGTCGCGGGCGCGGAGCAGCATGATCGCAGGAGGAGGCGCCGAGGTCGCGTCGGGGTCCCGAGAGGGCAGTCCCGGAGGGGCTGACTTTGCCCCGTCGGCCCTGGGGACCCGACAGCAGTGAGTGTCGCGCAGGGCAGGATGAGTGGCGCTGCCTGGAGTGCGCCCCAGGGTAGGGGACCGGGAGTGATGGGCCCCGGGGGGGGGGTCTCGGAAAATGGGGACAGCCTGGGGTGCGTGACGGAGGAAGCATGAAGGTTTGCCTTAGGAGAGCGTAAGCGGTGGAGGGGGTGGTGGCACGGAATCCCGAGGGGCCCCTTTGGGGACGATTAAGAGACATTTAATGGGGTTGACATCTGATGGGCTCGTGGGTCTCTGAACCTCTTGGGGAGGCCTTTTAAGGGTCTTGAACTTGAGGAGCAGGCCTGGGGAACGAGGGAGAGGGTGGGGAAGATCTGCTGGGCCACGGATGGGAAAGGCTAAGGGGACGAGGGTAGGGCTGTGGGAGCTCGAACTGGTGGGAGTGTAGGGTGACCAGAGGAGGGAGTGGGAGGCAGTGATGTGACCTGAAACGGATGCTTTGGAATCATTTAATGGGTTACTCGGTGAAGGAGTGAAAGACTGCGGGGAAAGGTAAGGATGAGAGGTAACTTGGAGGGGTGAGAGGGAGCAGGGGAGTCCAGAAAGATGAAGGGGATTCTAGGAAGAGAAGGCAAATGATGGGAGAGGGAGGACTTAAAAGGAAAGAGTAAATCTTAAAATATCCCTTAAGCAGAGCTTCTCTTTGGTGAGTTCCATTGTGAATAACCACTGTTAGTAGACAATCCTTGTTTCCACATAGTTTAAACGGAAAGTTTGGACTTATGTTTGGGACTAAGGGATCCTTGAACAAATACTTTGTTGTATTTTTGTAAGCGAAAACGTAGCATTTTTATGTGTCGGGTGTTGTTCTGAGTGCTTTACATGCATGCGCTTATTCTGTTTGTCTATGTTTTTCATTTTTTTAAAGCACAAAAATGTTAAGAGATTTGGGCTATGTGCACTTATTTATAACACTAATCATGCTTTTACACGTCTGTTACAAATCTGTAACATCTGAAACATACATTTAATTCGTAATACAGTTTAACTCAAGTTGCTTTGCATTTGATCATTTGTATAGCTGGGATGCTGTCTATGAGAGAGGACTGAACAATTTCCAAGAATATGGGGACAGAGGAGAAATTTGGTGAGTTACAAAGAATGGTGGAATTATGATCTGCAAGATCCTGTGTGTGTGAATCTTTATCTTTTAAGTGTATATCCCAGAGAAAGATGACCTGGAAATCTTGGCAGCCTTGAGCTGATTCTGGCTTTAGCGGGTAGATTTAAAGAACTTCTTACTTTTAATAGTCTAGATTTAAATTTGACGATGGTGTTATGAAATGACTTTTTTCCTGTAATTGTCCTTTTAAAATAAGCAATGCAGTTTTGAACCATTGATGCATACAAGTGTTTATGCTGATGCAGAGCAACATTAGTAATATACCAACCTGATTTATTCTTGGATGCATTTTTTTCCTAAATAATAGTAGAAATGAAGCTTAAGTGGTTACAAACATTACTATTACCATTTACTTTCAAAAAAGGCTAATTGAGCTTGTTGAATGATCTACTTAAGTGAAATATAGTTGTAACCTTTACTCTATATCCCTTTGTTGTTTGATTAACTGATTTCCTGTTTTTAATAGGTTTGGGGAAGAGAGTATGAATCGACTGATAAGGTGGATGCAGAAACAAAAGATTCCACTGGATGCTTCAGTGCTTGATATTGGAACTGGAAATGGTGTTTTCCTGGTTGAACTTGTTGGTACTTTTAGTATTCATGTGTTAGAGCTCAATTTTAAAATGCAATTTAAAAAGCTTGCAGGCGAGGATACTGACCAGCTAAATCTAAAGTAGTAAAGCAGGCATGCCACGTGCTTTGAGAAGTCATGTGGTTCGAAAGGGACTGCGTGGACTGTGAGAAGGAACTAAGTGAGAAGCCAGGGCACCTGAGTCCTGGTCTTGGTGCAGCCTTGACTCTGACCACGCTGCTTAATTTTTCTAGGCTTCAATTCTTTCCTGAAGATTTTGACTAGGCAATTTCTGTTGGTTTCTTGTAGCTCAAAACTCCAGAAGTCTTTGTGTATAAGTCGGAGATGACTTGTGTACTGAGTGTGGGTGGGGTGTATAGAGGGTGAGCATCTCAAGCAGTGGTGACAACAGTTAAAGGCACAGAGGTTTGCAGAGCCTAGCGGGTGCTGGGCCTGTGAATGGTCTGGGAGATGGAAGGGTAAAGTGTGTGTGCGGGGTGGACAGAGAGGAGGACTGAGTTAAAGGTAGGGGCCATATCATAGTATACCGTGCCCAAGAGCTTAGCTTTCACTTTTAGACTAAGGGGAGCAGTGAAAATGTGTCGGAGGAATGAGATTAGAAAAATTTGTAATAAACTTTTCTGAACCATTGAGGTATGGTATACATGTATTAAAGGGAACAAATCAAAAGACCGTGGCTCAGTGTGTTATCACAAAGGGAACGCAGCTGTGTCTCTATCACCCTGGTCAAGAAGTGGAATATTAGAGTCTCGAAGTTCGCTTGAACTCCTTATCAGTCCTCTCTAAATCACTCCCTTCTTCCTTTCTGAACGTGTAGTGGGGGTGTTAATATCACAGGTTCACTCGCCTGTTTGGAATATTTAAGTGGCAGGCCTCCCTGCGTGTTCTTTCTGGTGTCTTGCTCTGGGCATTCTGGGAGATTCACCGGTGGTGGTGCAGGTAGCAGCAGTTCATCCCTGTGGATTGCTGTCGGAGATTTCCTTTCTGCAGGGCTTATGTATTAGTTCTGCTGTTTGCCTGTAGATTCCTTTGGATCTTAGTAGTTTACTTGCAGAAGCTAATGATTTCTCCTTTGAGACTAATGGTTTAACTGTAGATTTAGATTTTTCTACGTGCCTATAAACATATATGCACCCTGTGAATAATGACAGTTTTTGTCATTCCTTTCAACCCTTTAGAACTTTTCCCCCTTTTCACCCTGGCTAGGACCTCCGGTAGAGTGTTGACAATGAACGGTGACGGAGGCATCCTTGTCTGTTGTTCCCCCTTCCGGAGGACACTTTCACTATTTTACTCTTAGGTATGATGTTAGCTTATGAGTTTGTTTTGTAGACAGCTCTGTTATTAGAGTAAGGAAGTTTCCTCCTGTTTCTGCTTTGGGGGTGTGTGTGTGTGTGTGAATGAATGTGTTTCCCATGAATCTTGTTTATCAAATTATTTCCTGTATCAATTGAGGTAATTATAAGAATCTTCTGCCCTGACTGGTGTAGTTCAGTGGATTGAGCACAGGTCTGTGAACCACACAACCTCGGTTCGATTCCCATTCAGGGCACATGCCTGGGTTGCAGGCCAGTTCCCAGTAGGGGACACACAAGAGGCAACCACACATTGATGTTTCCCTCTCTCCTTCCCTTCCCCTCTAAAGATAAATAAATAAAATATTTTTTTAAAAAGAATTTTCCTTTTAGTCTGTTCCTGTTTGTGACCTACATCTCCCATTTTTGGATGTTAAATACATTCCTGGAAAACCCAGTGTTTATATATTACCCAATTTATATAGAGAGATTCAGTGTGTTAATATTTTTAGGATTTTTGCAGCTTTGTGAGAAAGATTGTCCTGTAATTTTTCTTCCCGTTGTGTCCTTTATAAGTGTTGGTGTCAGGTTACGAGGGCATCATTAAAGGAGACTCTACTTTCTGATAGAGTTTGTTGGCAAATGGTGTTTTCTTTTACCATAAATGTTTGGTAGAATTCACAGGTGAAGCCACGTGTCTCCTGGGAAGTGTCGTTATTAAGTGAAGTGTGAGGTACATGTAGAAAAGTGAGCAGGTCAGCCGTGTGTAGCTTTTACAAAATGAACTCGTTTGTTGGACTCATCAGCCTGACCGGGGAAGGGATCACTGTGAACTGCGCGGAGGGCCCCTGTGCCCTTCCCTTGGGTTCCATCCCAGCGAAGCTCCATCCCGACCTCTGTCCTTGTACGGCAGGCGGTTTCTGACACCAGCTGTACTGGTTTCTTGTCGTGGCTTCAGTTTTTGTTTCTCTGGTGATGAGTGACGCCGAACACCGTGCACATGCTTATTCTCCATTTATGCATCTTTTCTGCTGCAATGTGGGTTCGAGTCTTTTGCCATTTTAAAATGGAGCTATCTGAGCCCTGGCTGGTGTAGCTCAGTGGATTGAGCGCGGGCCTGCGAAGCAAAGGGTCGCTGGTTCTATTCCCAGTCAGGGCACAGGCCAGGTCCCCAGTGGGGGACACATGAGAGGCAACCACACATTGATGTTTCTCTCCCTCTCTATCTCCTTCCCGTCCCCTCTCTCTAAAAATAAATAAATAAAATATTAAAAAATAAAATGGGGCTATTTGTTTAGTTTGTTAAGGTTTGAGAATTCTTTATGTGTTCTGGATATAAGTTCTTTGTCAGGTAAGTGATTTGTAAATGTTTTCTCCCAATTTTTTGGCTTGTTTTTTTTTTTGTTCTCAACAGTCTCTTCTGAAGAGCAGAAGTTCTTTACAAAAAAAAAAAAAAAGATTTATTTATTTATTTATTTTTAGATAAAGGGGAAGTGAGGGAAAAAGAGAGGGAGAGAAACATCAGTGTGTAATTGCATCTCATAAGTCCCCCCCACCCCCTGGGGGACCTGGCTGGCAACCTAGGCATGTGCCCTGACTGGGAATCGAACTGGTGACCCTTTGATTTGCAGGCTGGTGCTCAATCCACTGACCTACACCAGCCAGGGCTAGAGCTTCTTGATTTTGATGAAATCAAATTTATTAATTTTTCTCATGGATTTTGCTTCCATACAGGTTTTGTCATATGGATAGTTGTCATATTAAACAGCTCTGTCTACACCAAGGTCACATAGGCCTTCTTGTCTATTTTCTCCTAAAAGTTAGAGTTTTCCCTTTACATTTAGATCTGTGGTTTGTTTGTGTTAATTTTTTTAAAAGGTTTTATTTACTCATTTTTAGAGGGAGGAGAAGAGAAGGAGAGAGAGGGAGAGAAACATCAATGTGTGGTTGCCTCTCATGTGTCCCCTGCTGGGAACTGGCTTGCAACACAGACATGTGCCCCGACTGGGAATTGAACTGCGGTTGTTTGGTTTGCAGGCCTGCACTCAATCCACTGAGCTACACCAGCCAGGGCTTGAGTTAACTTTTGTTTAAGATTTGAGATACTGGTTGAGGTCCGTCCTTCCCCCCCTTCCTTCCTTCCTTCCTTCCTTCCTTCCTTCCCTCCTTCCTTCCTTCCTTCCTTCCTTCCTTCCTTCCTTCCTTCCTTTTTTTTTGCATTTGAATGTCAAATTGTTTTCACCTGTCATTTGTTGAAGAGATTATTCTTTCTCCATTACATTGAGTTTTGTCTGTTTTTGACTCAGTATAAATGGTATCATGATATTGTTGTGGAAGTATTTTTTCCCATCTGGCTGCTTTTGCTGAGCGTGGATTTGCTGTATGTACGCTAGATTGCTTCAGTATAGTGTATCCATGTACTGTATGAAAATAGCCATAGTCTACTTCTTTATTTAGTCATTCACTCATTCACTCTCCTGTTGATGGACATGAGGCCTGTCTCCAGTCCTGTGTTGTTACGAATACCACCAGTTTTCCGAAGTGGCCCTGCTGGGTCATGTCCCCGGCAGGCAGTATGCGGGCGTGCCAGTCACGCCATGTGGTCTTGTGGGACCCCTGGCCTTGTCGGTCTGTGCAGTTGCAGTGACTTTGGTAGGTGCGTAGCAGTATCTCATGGTGTTATTCTCATTTCCCTGGTGAGTCACTGTCTCAGGCATATTTTTGTGTGTTTTTTGGCTGTTTGCTTCTTTTTTGTGCAATGCTTATTTAAGTTTTTTCTCCAAATAACAATTGGGTTGCCTGTTTTTTTCTTACTGATTTGTAGGTGTTCTTCATATTTCTGTATATGTGACCTTTGTATTGCAAATTTCTTTATCTAATCTGTGGTTTGCCTTTTCACTTGTGCGATACTATTTTTGGATGAACAACAGAGGTTCTTCAATTTTACTAAAGCTTAATATGTACTGTTTTAAGCTCCGACTGCTGTGGCTCAGTGGATTGAGTGCTTGCCCTGTAGACCGAAAGGTTGCTGGTTCAACTCCCAGTCAGGGCACATGCCTGCGTTGCAGGCCAGGTCCCCAGTCGGGGCTGTGCAAGGGGCAACTGATCTGTTTCCCTCCCTCTCTCTTTCTCTCCCTTCCTTTCTGTCTAAAAATAAATAAAATCTTAAATGAAATAAAATGATTAGTGATTTTTGAATACCATATAGTAAATCTTTGCTTCCCCAGAGTCACAAATATATTTTCCTGTGTGTTCTAGAATCTTTTTTGTTTTCCTTTTCACAGAAAAGGAAACCAGCGTAAACCGATCAGTTGTTTGCCTTGCGAGGTGGAGGTCCATGTTTATTTTTTCCCGAGAATATCGAGGTCACCCAGCACCACTGATTGAATGAAATGTTCCCCGTTTCCCGCACTGCACCTCTGTCCTGTGTCACGTGGTGTGTGTCCAAGTCTCTGTCTGGGTCCTTCGGGTCTGTTAGCCTTTATTTACTTACTCACATTTATCCGTCTGTCCTCACCTGAGGATGTTTGTTGACTTTAGAGGGAAAGGCCGGGAGGGAGCCGAGCCATCCCGCCCGGGCTGTCTGAGTGACTTTCTGGGAATTATTTTAGAGGAGGTTTCTTGGCAAGGAATTTTCTGAGCATTTCTTCAGCTGAGAATGTCTTTATTTTGCCTTCATTCCTAAGGGATGTTTTTGCAGAATATAGAATTCTTAATTCTTCCAGTATGTTAAAAATGTCGTATCTCTTCTTTCTGACCTCCATGGATTCTGATGAGAATCCTGCAGTCATTGGAATCGTTGTGTTCCTGTAAGCAGCGTGGCATTTTTTGGATGCTTTCAAGATTCTTTCTGTCTTAGTTTTTACAAGTTTGCCTATGACGTGCTGCTGCTTGGGTTTCTTGGGGCTTGCCCTATTTGGGGTTCCCCGGGCTTTTTGAATCTGAGAACACTTTTGATGTGTAGATGTGCTGTGTGATTTTGGACTGGCATTTTTCTTTCATTATCTTTGGCTTTCATTTTTTATGGCTTATTGTCACTCATCAGTCTTATTTATCATCGATCTCCCGAAGGCAGTTTCTGCCCCCCACTCTTATCCTTGGATAAGCTTTTGAGATTTTTCTGTTTTTAGTTTTCATCAGTTATATTAAAATATACTGGTTTTCTTTGTTTACATTATGCCTTAGGTTTATAGAACGTACTGAATTTTTGGCATGGGGTCCATTGTTGATATTGGAAAATGCTTAGCAATATACCATTTTCTCTTCTGCCAGTCTCATTTTCTCTCCCTTGAAGGTTCCTATCATATATATGTTAGATATTATACTTTGTGCTATTTTATGTCTTTTTTGTTCTTTCCTGTTTTTAATTTTCTATCCTTTTGTCATTGTATGCTTAACAGGTATTCTGACATTTTTTCCAACTGACTAATTTTTTGTGTGTCTAATTTGCTATCAAGTTCACCCTCAGTTTATTAAATTAATCATTGCATTTTTAATTTGTTACTTGTTTGCTTTTTTTGCTACAGTTTTCAATGATCTGGCAGCATTCTCCAAATTGTTAATATTTATTTTAATTGTTTCAAAATCTGTTTCTTACCTTCTTTTATTTATGTCTTTTGTTGGTCTTTTTCTAATGTCAGTTTTTCCCCTTGGTTTTGGTCATTTATAGTATCCTTGAATGTCTGTTTATTTCTCACTGAGTGCCAGAAACTGAACGTGAAATTTGTTGGAGATATTTTGAGGCTTTGGATGATTGTTGTAAAACCCTAAGACATCTGTTCATGGTTTTTACAAGCTCTGCTGGAAGAGTTAGCAGGCACGGGATGAGAGCGAGTCGGTCAGAGTCAATTCTCAGAATCGTTTGCTGTTCTAGATGATGGAGGAGGCGTTGAGGGGAACGGCGGGGAAATGAAGACCTCAGAGCGAATGGAGGGAGACAGCTGAAAGAATAGGAAGTCGGCATCAGAGGAGGACATTAGATTTTAAGATTAAAAACAATCAAAGGAAGCAAAATGCTCTGTGGAAATAATTGGTATGCACTTGAGTTTAGATTAGAAATCAGTCACTCAGGATTGAAAAGTCTGGGTAAGTCTTGATGGGTGGTGTTGGAGTAGGTTAAATTTTGAAGGAGGTAATCATTTAGTAAATTGTGAAGAGCAGAAACAATTTCAGGCTTCTCTGTACTTTGCAGCTTCTTTTCGTCAAACGTCCTTTGACGTGGCTGTTAGCTTGATTGGTCTGAGAATGTTCAGCATAGTCAGGTGGTGGAGGTGGAGTCAGAAGCCACCACCCTTTTGCCAGGGTGCCAGGCTCCTGTGGACGGGCTCAGAGGGCAGGTCAGCCGCCGGCCCTCCCGCTTCCGTCTCAGAGCTCGTAGCCCAGCGAGCGTTCTCCGCCTCTTTGGCCCCGCCTCACAGGTGTTTTGTAAAGATCTATGGAGACGTATGAACTAGTGCAAAAACAAAAAATACTATGCACATGTAATCACAGGCCGTTGGAGAGTTCTGTAACGTGTAATTACACTGAGTGAACATTTAACATCAAGAACTTATGTCATATACGTTGATTGAATTTATTCATATAACGTGTTAAGTAAAATTTATGACACATTTATGTGTGAATTACAGCATCTCAACGTCAAAAGTTAATGCCACATTTTTCTGCTCGAGGGCAGAAATATTATACATACAAGTATTCTCATTATCTTTGAGAAAATGAATTTCCTTTTGAAAAGGAAATCAGATATTATAAAAGCAAATGAATTGTCACATTCTATAAATTTAAAGTTTTACTTTCTATTTGGATTCTACAATAAAATTTAAACATTGTAGATTATTAGACGGTATATGTTACTTGATCCATTGAGAATAAATAAAATGGCCCTAGTCCTGAGAGAACGTTATAATTTGTGGGTGAAACAGTGTATTACAACTTTTTAAAACTGAAGCATAAAACTCCTTCTCTGTCTCTAGGCAAAGCTTGGTTTCTCTGATATTACTGGAATTGATTACTCTCCCCCTGCAATACAGCTGTCTGGGAGTGTCATAGAGCAAGAAGGCTTCTCTGACATTAAGCTGAAGGTAACTATTACTTACATTACTGTAACTTATTTGTATTTCTAATAAAAGTTATAAAATGGAGATGTTTCTAGAGTATGTTAACCATAAACAATCTAAAATGGGACATTTTTAAGAATGTGTAGTCTGGTCAGCTTGGGAAGTGATTTTCTTCCTTGAGTGCAGGTTTACTCATCCCCCCTCTTCCCCCTGGTGTTTGCAAACACACACCAGTAACACCTAACTTTGCAGTGACCAGATCCAAACGTTGTTGGTACGTAAAGTGGGAAATGCCACCAGAAGCTGCTTAGTTTGTTTTGTGATCTGTAGGGAGATGAGGTCTCATTTGTATTTCTAGCTTAGGCATCTCCTCTGAGCTCTAGAGTTATATACAAACTGTATTTTACAATTCATTAGCATAGTTAATAGTCTCTCAATTAGTCCAAAGTGATACTCTTTTTTTTTTTTTGTGAGAGCTTTGTTTTAATTAATTAATTAATTTTTTTTTAATTTATTTATTTTTAAAGATTTTATTTATTTATCTTTAGAGGGGAAGGGAAGGAGAGAGAGAGAGAAACATCAATGTATGGTTGCCTTTTGTGCGTCCCCTGCTGGGAACTGGCCTGCAGGGAACCTGCCTGCAACCCTGGCATGTGCCCTGACTGGGAATTGAACCGCAATTGTCTGGTTCGCAGGCCCGCGCTCAATCCACTGAGCTACACCAGCCAGGGCCTTAATTTATTTTTAAAATATATTTTATTGATTATGCTATTACATTTGTCTTGTTTTCTCCCCTTTATTCCCCTCTGCCCTCCACCCCCCTCCCACCAGCATTCCCTCCCTTTTAGTTCATGTCCATGGGTCATACATATAAGTTCTTCGGCTTCTACATTTCCCATACTATTCTTAACCTCCCCCTGTCTATTTTCTACCTACCATTTATGCTACTTATTCTTTGTACCTTTTCCCCATTCTCTCCCCCTCTTATTCCCCCCACTGATAACCCTCCATGTGCTCTCCATTTCTATGATTCTGTTCCTGTTCTAGTTGTTTGCTTAGTCTGTTTTTGTTTTAGGTGTGGTTGTTAATAACTGTGAGTTTGCTGTCCTTTCACTGTTCATATTTTTTATCTTCTTTTTCTTAGGTAAGCCCCTTTAACATTTCATATAATAAGGGCTTGATGATGATGAACTCTTTGAACTTGACCTTAATCTGAGAAGCACTTTATCTGCCCTTCCATTCTAAATGAGAACTTTGCTGGACAGAGCAATCTTGGATGGAGGTCTTTGGATTTCATGACTTGGAATACTTCTTTCCAGCCCCTTCTTGCCTGTAAGGTCTCTTTTGAGAAATCAGCTGACAGTCTTATGGGAACTCCTTTGTAGGTAACTGTCTCCTTTTCTCTTGCTGCTTTTAAGATTCTCTCCTTATCTTTTATTTTGGGTAATATAATTATGGTGTGCTTTGGTGTGTTCCTTCTTGGGTCCAGCTTCTTTGGGACTCTCTGAGCTTCCTGGAAGTCTATTTCCTTTGCCAGATTGGGAACGTTCGCCATTATTTTTTCAAATAAGTTTTCAATTTCTTGCTCTTCCTCTTCTTTTTCTGATACCCCTCTGATTCGGATATTGAAACATTTAAAGATGTCCCGGAGGTTCCTAAGCCTCTCCTAATTTTTTAGAATTCTTCTTTCTTCATTGTGTTCTGCTTGAATGTTTCTTTCTTCCTTCTGGTCCACACTGTTGATTTGAGTCCTGGTTTTCTTCCTGCCACTGTTGGTTCCCTGTACATTTCCTTTATTTCACATAGTGTAGCCTTCATTTTTTCATCTAATTTGCAACCATACTCAACCAATTCTGTGTGCATCCTGATTAGCAGTGTTTTGGACTCTGCATCTGATAAATTGGCTATCTCTTCATCACTTAGTTGTATTTTTTCTGGTGGAGCTTTGATCTGTTCTTTCATCTGGGCCATTTATTTTTGTCTCTTCTTCTCACCTGTTACATAGTAAGGGGCAGAGCCTTAGGTATTCACCAGGGTGGGGCAGCCCACGTGGCTGCGTTGTGACCCTGTATGTCGGGGAGCAGTCTGAGAGGGAACAGTGCCGCTTGCTCCACTCTCTGCCGGATTTCAGTCACTTCCTCTTCTACCCACAAGCAAAGTGGGCCTTTCTGGTGCTGACTCCTGGGTGGGCGGGGTTGTGTATGTTCTAGGACCCTGTGGGTCTCTCCAATGAACTCTTGTGCGAGACTGGGAGTTTCTCCCGCTGGCGCTCAACCCGCACAGGTGTTTTCAGTCAGAGGTTTGAGGCTTTATTTCCCCGCACTGAAACTTTGGGTAGGGCAGTCTGTCTTGCTCCCCCAGTTGTTCCTCCTGGTTTATCTGCACATGAATGTGGGACCGCAGTCCACCACCTCACCTGCCAGCTGCAGCCTTGCCCACCCTAGTCCTCTCTGCCCTGTTGCCTGTCCCCGCCCCGCCTACTGGTCTGGTTGAATGTTTCTTCTTTAACTCCTAGGTTGTCGAACTTCCATACAGTTCGATTTTCTGGCAGTTCTGGTTGTTTTTTGTTTTGAAATTTGTTGTCCTTCTTTTGGTTGTGCGAGGAGACACAGTGTGTCTACCTATGCCTCCATCTCGGCTGGCAGTTGTCCTAAAGTGACACTCTTGCCTTCTTCCTTTAACCCGCATCCCCCCACTCCCCTTCCAGTCTCTCCGATGATACCACCATTCATTTCCCAGTTGCACTAACCCAAAACCCAAGGAGCCATCCTTGATTCCTCTCTTTTCTTTGAATTCTATGTCCAATTTGGTTGGTTTTATCCTCAGAGCAAATCAGGAATGCAGTCATTCCTTGGCGTTTCTAACGCTCCCCCGCAAACCTGAGCCACCATCTTTTCTTGCCAAGACAACTGTAGCAGCCACTCAAAGGGCCTCCCTGTTGCTCCCCCTCCAGCCACCCAGCGAGTGTCACCACAGGGCAGCCCCAGGAGTGATCCTTACTATGCAAATCAGCTCTGGGACTTCCGTGTTCAGCCTCCGGGGGCTTCCCCTTTTGCTCAGAATGGAAGCTGGGCCCCACCCAGCCTCCCAGAGCTCTCTTCCCTCTTTGTCAGCAAGGCTGCATGCAGGCGTTTCTGCTTCTGTCTGCACGTGGGGGGTCTCACCTTTGTCCTCCCACCCTTACGCCGGGTGCTCTCTGCCAAGAGGAGTTGCTGAGACCTTCCTTGGCTTGTTTGGCTCCTGTTCATCGCTGAAATAAATCCCTGCTGGACTATTTAGAGAGGCCTGAGCTGACCGCCTTTTCTGATACGTTTCTCGTCCCAGCCGTTCACCGTCTTCGTTATTGTTTTTATTTTCTTCATAGCACTTTATCTGAAGTCACTTGTTTAGCTTGTTTATTATTTGCCTTTCCCTTTAGAAAATACAAGATATGTTCTTCTGCAATGAACTTTGTCTTTTGATTGCTGTTGTATTCCTAGGGCCTACAAAGTTCCTGCATTTAATAGGTGTCTATGAAGTACTTGTTGAATAAATGTGTAATTTCATGCAGGCATTTAGGACAGGAAGATCTTCAAACTTAGCTCCTGAGAGTGGTAGTCATTACGTTGCCTCAGGTACAGTGACTGCTTGGGAGTGAGGGGGAGGGCGCTGTTCCAATGTGTGGAAACATAAGGTCCACCTTTTTAAGTCAATAGGGAGTTCTAGATAATACACTATTTATGATGACTTGATTAAGTTTGTATGAATAATCATTGGCTCCTTGCATAATTACCTTTTCAAAGTAGCTTTTTAGAATTAAAAAAAGTTGCGTATTGGCAAATCATTTCGAGTATTTTATGAAATTGGGTGCCCCACTATGTCAAGTGCGTACAATGTCAGTGGTCATTGGACATGGACGAGAGGCTGATGTTTGACTTCCAAGTTCTAAAGTGAGCCATATTCATGAAGTTACCCAATTGCAGCTTACACAGCTGTTTAATTGCTTAAGCTTTAGGCCATTCATTCCTTTTGTTTTTAAGATTTTATTTATTTATTTTTAGAGAGGGGGATGGGAGGGAGAAAAGGAGGGAGAGAAACATCAGTGTGTGGTTGCCTCTCACATGGCCCCCACTGGACCTGGCCTGCAACCCAGGCATGTGCCCTGACTGGGAATCAAACTGGCAACGCTTTGATTCACAGGCCGGCACTCAATCCACTAAGCCACCCAGCCAGGGCTAGGCCACTCATTCTATTAGTTGCTTTGTAAGCTGCTGAGTCAAGGCAAGAGACTTTTATTTTCCTGTCTACTTTAGGCCACACAGCTTGTAATCTTAGCTAACAGTCATCTTATTCCTAGTGACCTGTTTGAGTTCCAGACAATTTTTGTTATTTTTAAGAACATGCAAATACTCTACTTACCAGCAGAAATAATGGCAAGCTCTGCTCTGTGCTGGCGTTACTAGGCAGTGCACCTGGCTTTGATTTGTTTCCAAATTTGGAATGTCCAGGAAATGCTGTCAGTCTCTTTTACTAATCTTAGCTTTAATGATCTTGGAATGAAGCACATAAAAGTTAGCTATAAAGTTGAAAATATGTTTATTACATGTAAAATGCCATCATAATGAATGGGTACTTTTATCTATAACTTGTTACAGATTGTCACTTAAATTAGGTAAAGATTGTGTGTTAATTGTTCTCACATATGCATTGATTTTTAATATAGGTGGAAGACTTTCTGAATCTCTCCCCAGAGCTGTCTGGATTTCACGTTTGTATCGACAAAGGGACTTTCGATGCCATAAGCCTTAATCCTGATAATGCAGTTGAGAAGAGGAAGCAGTATGTGAACTCTCTCTCCAGGGTGTTGAAAGTGAAAGGCTTTTTTCTAATAACCTCATGTAATTGGACCAAGGAAGAGTTGCTGAATGAATTCAGTGAAGGTAATTGGCTGCATGTTGTTTTAAATGTGCACTTACCTCAGGGTTTATGCTCCTAAGTAGGTTTTTTTCCTTTGGCATTATAGTGTTATACTTTCCTATTTGTGGGAATTAGCTACTTTTCTTCTCTGTTAATAATCTTGGTATTACTTTTAACTGCATATGCAAAGCACAAAGAAGTAATATTGGTTGAGATCCAGAGTCCTTTTTAAACATTTCCAAGAAATCCTGGCAGTTAAGTACTAAAATTTATGAGCCTATAAAAATTAAGTTCTTTAGTTAAGCTATATAATCTGTTACTTAGAGAATCAAACGAAGAAGTCACATATATTGTGCTTCTGACTTAAGTGAACCGACACACTGGTGGTACTTGGGAATAATGCAAATGGAAGTAGTATTTTTTTAAAGTCTCACATGATGAGAGCTTTAGTTTTACAGATACTTTATGTGTCTCTTTAGCAGTCATTCAGATACTTAGGGCTTGTCCTGCTGTTTCCAGTGTGTATGGGACGATTGTGTCGAACAGTACACAGGAATGAAGTGGGAGCTTGGCAGTAGAAATACCGCCTGTTCATTCTTGAGGAAATCTCTACCTTTCTCGAGATTTTTGGTGCCAAGACAGGATCCTTTTTCCCCAAAGTAGAACAGGTGCTGTGTCTACTAAGTGGAGGTTTTATGAGAATTGAGGATTGATAATACGTACACAAACATTTTGAGTTCTTTGGCAAACCACTCCTTGCATGTTTCAGGGAACCTTTTACCTGCCAGCTTATTCATGCAGTCAGTGCACGGGCATTTCTGGGAAAGTCTCAGAGTGTTTATAACTGGTGTTTGCTTGTTTAATCCGTAGAGTCTTTCAGATTGGAATTAAGTGTTTTAAAGGAATGAGAGGAATGTCCAGGACCGAGTGTTAACAGTTGGTATGGTTCTCGATCTGTGGTTCAGATCTGAACCTCAGTTGTCGCAGGCTAATGGGAAGTGACTGTGTAACTGCATCTCCTGCGCTGTATCTCAGAGCTTGTATTCTTGGTGAGGAGGGACGAGGTGGTAGAACACCCAACACACGCCCTTTGTTTGCACCAGCGGCTCAGGCAGGCTCTGGAGTGTGAAGGCTGATGTGTTTGAGGCCTGGAACGTGAGCCTGTGGCTTCCTTACTGTTGCCTCCGGGGCACAAGAATTACATGTGATTTATTGTGTCTTATTTCATGTCGTCGATTTTATTATCTTCCATGTTAAATTTGTTTCCTTTAGAACTGTCGAGGCCCCGTATCAATGGCCGTTCCCTCTTCCTGAAGCCTGACAGTTTTAATACATGCTCAGAGTTACACTGTGTAAAAGCAAGGTCCTTTCCTGGTCTTTAAATACAGGTGTTCCCATTTTCCCCTGCAACCACCAGACAAAAACATATTTGTCTGTTTCTCATAATGAGGAACAGACTTCAGCCTGGTACGGAGAGCTTAAAGACGTGTCTGGGTCTGAGAACCACTGACTGAGTGTTTCAACTCATGTTCAGTTTCAGAGTTGAATAAGGAACTGAAGTAAGCGAAATGTTACAACAGGAACTTGGAAAGAAATGGTTACATGCAATTGAAGACATTTGTAGGCAGGCCTCTCTTAGAAGATGGTTTTGGGTGTCAGATGAGGACACTAACAGAATTCACGGCCGCGCCTCTCTGCTGGGGCTGTTGTCACTCGCTCCCTAGGACAGGCTTCCTGAGTCCCTTTTGCACAGAATAAACCCAGCTTCACTGATCTTGAAGGCACTTTCTTTATAAGTGTTCATAAAGCTGTGAAAATGAATCTCGCGTTTTCCCTTCATAGCCCTATTTATATAAACATTTGGTGTGTTCACTTATTTTGGTGAGGACCTCTTGAAACATTTGCTAGATATTAGGATGTTCTCACTTGAGTCCAAGGAACTTGTCTTTCTTAGAACTACTGAATTAAATAACAAAAACAAAACAAACCTCAAACATACTTCTTACAAAAGTAATCTGGATTCATTTTGAAAAAATTGGAAAATATTAATCTCAACATATATGCATGTAGATTAAAATCATCCATCATCTGTCTCTGGATTATAACCACTCTTAGTATTGTGGTGTATTATCTTTGAAATATAGGAACTTCAGTTCTGTAAGGTTAGTCCCGGGAGTTCAAGGAGCAGTCCTGGAAAATTCACAGCTCTATTTTCTCTTGAAAATTTTTATTATGAAATACTTTAAGCATAGGTAAAATTTCAGAAATAAATATGGGTGTGTACCAATGTATATACCAAGTGTTAAAATATATAATGTTACCAAAGGGCCTGTCCTTTGGAAAAGTTTTCTATGATTAATTTTTAAGGCATATTTTAATATTTAGTTATTTATTAAGGTTTGCTGAAGTTTGATGAGAATATGAATTTCACCCTGGCTGGTGTAGCTCAGTGGATTGAGCGCGGGCCTGTGAACCAAAGGATCGCAGTTCAATTCCCAGTCAGGGCACATGCCTGGGTTGCAGGTCAGTTCCCAGCAGGGGATGCACAAGAGGCAACTATACATTAATATTTCTCTCCCTCTCTCCTTCCCTTCCCCTCTAAAGATAAAAAAAAAAGAATATGAATTTGAATGTGTAATGAAACAAAATATAAAACACCAGTTGATACAATAATATATATGCCCCTTTTAATATTTTTTCTGTGTCAGTTTTCATTTCATTTTATAGTTCAGGAAAGTGCCACATTATCTTACTCCGGTCTTTGCAGAATCACTGCGAGTTAGATGGGGCACTGGTGTCTGGAACCCCCGTGCACAGAAACTGAGGGTCCTGGTTAAGGTCATTGGACCAGCATGTTTTCCGCTTAGTAGGTGGGAGAGCTGGGACTTGAACCCAGGATTTTGAAATGCAAGTTATTTATTTCCTTAAAGAAACCGCACTGTGCTGCTTTGAAAGTTATTAGTTCCTTGGCAGACCCTTTATCAGTTCAGTTTGGGTCTTGTTCTAAAAAAAAAAAAAAAAAAAAGACAAACTTTTTTGTGGTAAAATACAGAGGTGGGAAAAAGTAGGTTAATAATAACAGTAAATAATGCATTAAGAAGTAATAATACAAAAGTAAGCACCGTGTTTCACGTGCTCACAGCTGCAGCCCTACTTGGCCCACGCGCACATGTAACGTAAGATGCAGCATTAACTGTTTTTAAGTGCGCGGCTCAGCGGCATCAAGCGCGCCAACGGTGCTGTACAAACCCTCACTGCTGTCCCACTCCAGAACTTTTCATCTTACAGACTCATCTGTAGTTCCACGTTACTTAGCCCTTCTGTGTTAAGTTTTCTGTATGTGCGATGCAGATCAGATTGCGTTACTACCTGTGAAGCTCTCAGAACGGTGCCTGGCACAGGGTGGGAACTCAACACCTGCTAGCTGCTTCCTGCAAACAGGTGAGGTAGGCTCAAGGAGATGCAGAGCTGAAGGGACGATAAATGGGAAGCGGAGGAGAGGGGAATGGAGAAGAAGGGCCTGTTTTCTGTGATTCGTGTGTGGTCTTGCCTGTTCCCCGTCTGTCAAAGTGTTTCGGGGCGTGCACACACACGACATGCATGTGCGGTAGGAACAGAAGGTCGTGGACTGGAGTGCGGTCACCATTCAGTGTTTGCGATCACATGGCTTTATAAAGGACTTGAAGATGCGCTGTTGGCTGTGGCACTGAACTCCTACTTAGAGTGTTTGGATTTTGTCTCACAGGATTGGAACTTGTCGAAGAGTTGCCAACACCCAAGTTCAGCTTCGGAGGCCGACCTGGAAGCAGTGTAGCAGCATTGGTTTTCCAGAAAATGCGAGACTTTTCATTGGACAAATCCGGTTAGCTTTTTTTAAAGGAGCTCCGTGTCAGAGTGAACCTGACACTGAAAGTGCAAGTGCAAGTACATGCGTAGCAAGCGCACCGGATGCACATGTCGGACGGAAGCAGAGACCATGAGTGTGGACGTGGGTGGGTTTTAGAGACAGACCGAGAATAGTTTTACATGCTCTTTTGTATTTGAATGTAAGTATTTTTTCTTTTTGATTAAAAACAATTTTCTGTACCTGATGAACAGTTAAAAACTTTAAAGCAGTAAATGAATTCTCAGAAAGCATGTATTCTTGACTTTTGTGCCTTGGTAAAATTGAATTGAATATAACTTTTTATTGGGTCGACCAAACTATTCCAGGGCCAGAATAATAAGCAAAACAGCTTTTTTAATGTTTTAGTAGAGTGTTTATGAAATATAATAAGCCTACTATTTTTGGTGGAATGGTGGCTATTTAAAAAAAGTATTTAATATCTGAGAAAATCCTCTAGCTTTCATGTAGAAAGTTAAACAAAATCAGGTAAATATATATCAGTTGCCTAGAAATATTAAGTGAGCGTGTATTTTGTGGCTGATGGTGTTTTGCACACTGAGGGATGAAGAAGAAGTGGAAGGAAAGGCAGCCCAGAGACACTGCTGCGAGCTAGCCTTGGGCCATCTCGGTGGACCTCCCGGTGGTGCCTGGCAGGGATTCCCGACTCTGGTTTCTGCACGCCAGACAGCCAGGGCAGGGTGGGGACGGGGCTCTTCCTGGGGCCGGCTCAGAAACCAGGAGCCCGTGCTGCCTCCCAGGCTCTAAGCCTCTGCCTCCGGGTGTTGACAGTTCAGTGGGGGAAGGGGGACTGGTCCTCAGCAAATGCGAGTCCAGAAGTCAGGCAGTCGAGTTTAGGAGCTCTGCGGCTCCTTGGGACAGGCTGATCTGGGGCTGAGACTGAGAGTCACCCTCCATTACTCTCCACGGTCCCCCTGCTTGTGTTTAGAGACTTGCCTAATCAGGAACTGCATTGCACCCTGCCTCTGGGCAAGGCGGTGTGAGCTGACTTACACCGCAGGTTTGCGTGAGCCCTGAGGGACGCAGGGAGGAGGCCTTCCGGTTAGGGGCTGTGTAGTAGATAGTTTATTATTAGGGTTTTTTAAAAGATAAGGTATGTTAATATTTAACGCTGTTTTTTTATTTGGGCTAGTATTTTATTATTGGAGTCACCATGTGAGGTTTTTAAAAAAGTGACATGATATTTGATGGTTTTTAGCTTTTAGGCCTGTTGGGTTACAGAATGGAGAGAATTTTTGTTTGTTTGGCGAATGTTAACTCCAGTGGTAAGTCTAGCATTGCAACCTTTAAATTTTTTTTTTAGTTTCTTCCCAGACTTGGGACAGGGGCCGGTGGTTTGATTTAGAGCAGATTTAATCAACCACTCAGGTGACCACCTGCCTTGCACTAGGATCACTGAAGACACCTACGTAAACTTTAAATACTTACCACTGTTTGAAAAGCTTTAACTTTTGACATTTGGACAGTGAGCGATGAAAGTGCATGTTATTAGCCTTAGAAAGAGTGTTTCGGTTTTACCAACTGTGAAGCACACAGTGTTTGCTTTATCGAGGAGGTCTGCTCCTCGTTGTTTTCTCGCATTGCTCTTCCTTAACTTCTAATACGAGAGCAGTGTGTCAGCACTTTCTCGGAGGTTTGACTGTTAGATACGTGCTGTTCTAAAGCCGCAACCTAACGAAGTGGACTTTCTGTGTGACCAGAATGAGACGTGGGGTTCGATTCACCAGGAGCTCGGACGGGGCTTTGTTGAAAGGCCCCTGGAGTCCCTGTCGTGGGGGTGTGTTTGCTCCTTTTGCAGAGATGAAGGATCGTGGGGGCGGCAGAGTCGTGGGGCTGTTGACAAGGTCAGGAAAAGGGCGCCGTCATCTCTCATGGCGCAAACCTGCAGGAAGTCGGCCTTGCAGAGGCTGAAGTCAGAATGAGCGGAAGGTCCAGACACGCTGACAGTAAATCGGCATTTTCACATAGTACCACGCTGTGGAATCCAAGCCGGTGGAGGTCGCCAAGTTACTGAAACAAGTCATCAGTACATTACTGTCACACTTGGTTTTGTTAAGTCACGGGACTGTGGCAAACTGGGAAGGAAATGATGCCGTTGTAAAGAGAACAGGGAATTACGTAGTGCGCGCTGTTTTCTCTGTGTGGAAAGTTGGAATTGTAATTTGATTTCATCAAAAGACACTCTTATTTTGGGGAAACTTGTTTGAAATGCAGACGAGATTTCTCTACAGAGCCTGCGCAGAATTTTTGCTTTTAATTATGATGTTATTGCCGCATAACAGGCCACTTCTGTGTGGAGGGAGCGCGCGCAGGCCTGAAGGGGTTTGAGGCCTGAATGGGCAGTCGCACCAATTAACAGACGGAGCATTTTCAGAACATTCTGTTGTAAGCCAGGTGCACAAGTTGGAGTTGCTTTGGGGGGCTGGCATTTATGTGTGTGAGAACCAAACCTGACACTACTCTGGGCACCTTGGCCAAAACCATTTCAGAATGAGCCCAACTACCCTCGAAGATTTTACTTATTTATTTTTAGAGAGGAAGGGAAGGAGAGAAATATCAATGTATGGTTGCCTTTCATGAGTCCCCTGCTGGGAACTGGCCTGCAACCCAGGCATGTGCCCTGCCTGGGAATCAAACTGTGATTGTGTGGTTTGCAGACCCGCACTCAATCCACTGAGCTACACCAGCCAGGGCTGCTCTCGAATGATTTTTTTACCCCCTTTGTGGTGGCAGCGAGGTGCCCTTTCTTCATCAGGGATGTGCACGCAGTTTTCTGTTTTGGGAGGAGGGAGGGAGGTAAACACACACAGAAGATTTTCAGTCATCACAGGAATGATGTGTCTCAGTTCACGAACTTTTTATCTGTGAGTTTCTGTAAGTGGTGCTGTCATGCACTTCGCACGTGGGCCCCGCTGAGTCACACTCATCCACGGTACAGTGGAAACCTTAGTCTTTCAGGAACCTGTCTTTGTGACCAAGTTTTCTATGGCTCTGGAGTAATTTTCCTTAAGTTGACATGTCAAGAAATACGAGTATCCCTACTTATGCTCGTAGATTTTGATCCATGTTCTCTCAAGTGGTTTTATTTTATATATTGGTGTGTGCATGTTTGTGTCTGGTAGCTTACAATGAAAAAGCACAAAATCTGGAAAGGCAGCCGCTCTCCAGGCCCGCGTCCCGCCCAGGGAGGGTGTGCTGCGCCGCGCCGGCACTGCGCACTAGGTAGAGGGCGTGTGCTCCGGAGACGGCCTCCCGCTTGAGAGCAGAAGTGGCTCCCGTCCCACAGTGTCATCTCGGCTGGTTGTGTGCGAGGGTGTGGATGAGCCCTGAGGCCCAGTGCCCTTCCCTGGAGGGGGCCTGCCTGTCACCGAGAGCTTGATTGTGGGTGACAAGGAGCGTGACAGGTGGAAGGACAAGTGCATAGTGGGGAAGAAGGTGGGGAAAGCCTTGTCATTTCTCTTTGTTAACCAGGAAACAGAGATGTCCTTAGAAGAAGGGGGAGCATGTGAGCATGTTGTATTAACAGTTAATTCGAGAAAATTAATGCAAATTTATTCTTCATACACACCATGCAATTTGTTAGAAAAGTAAAAGAATAGTTTGAAATTCTTTGGTCAGTTAATGGATTCTTATGTTAGAGGCATAGAAATGAAACTCAACATCAAGCGGACAAATACTCAGCCCCACAGGCTATATAAATGCTGAATAAAGCCAGTTCTACAATGGAACTCTGAAAAGCGAGGGGTAGGAAGCCTAATGAATGATTGAATATGACCTTAGCAAAATCCCTGGAGTGTTGTTGAAAGATTATTCATTTCCAGCTTAGATGTCAAGATGGGCTCCAGTCACCAGAAAAAAAAGAGAGCTTGAATCGGTACGTACCGGGCTTTAAAAATCTTTACAACACCGTGCGGTAGGCCGAATCGTTAACAGGGCTTCTCGGACTGGATTTTGAGCTGTTACTCTGTGGACCTGTAGTTGAGGCTCGAGGAAACCAAGCAGAAAAAACGGGAGTAGTTCCCAAGACACGAATGTGTCAGTGTCCTGCTTTTACGGAGAAGAACGTCAACAGCGGAGAGGCCGAGGCTGGCAAGGGTGCCGTTTGCCCCGCTGGTACCGTGTTAAGAAAGACAGCGGTTTTGTGTCTTTCCCGCGGTTGTGTCTCCACGAGTCTACAGAGCAACGGCCTCGTTTGTCAGAGGAAGATAGAAAAAAACAAAACCTACTTTTCCTTCTTTTTACATGGCCTGTTCTGAAGAATTGGCAAATTTCCCTATGTTCTATTTTTAAATGCGTTATTACTGCATCCGGGAATGGTAAGCATGTTAGTAAGTGGTCTTTACTGTGCATGCTAATGAGAGCTTTTTAATGAAGGTGGGTCTAATGCATTTGTTTTTCCGAATACCTTAGAGCGTACACATGAACCAGCAGTTAGCCTGTGCTGGGTATTATCCGGGGAGCTTGGCGAGAAATCTGAAATGGTCTGGTGGGATCAGGAGACCCTGGGCTGTATTTACTGCTCTTCTTTGACAGACTTACCAAGGGAGCAGTTACCATTGTCAGCGATGGTACCGAACAGAACGGAAGTGCCACCGGGATGGGTGCAGGGCCCCTGCTATGGCCTCCCTACCCCTCCTGGGAGGGGCTGGTCAGGAGGAAAGGCCAAAGGCAGAAGGAGGAGCTGCTGCCAGTCGTTTTCCTCCGCACCCCTCCTCTCCCACGGAAACGTCAGTCCTTTGTTCCCGTCTAATTTTAGTAGATCCTGGCTGAAAAAAATGTTAGGGTGAAACATGTTAGGATGGTTTCCAACCCTGGAACTCAGAGGGGCAGGGCGGGGGTGGGGGGGGCGAAGGGGGAGGGTCGAGGGAAGCAGTTCCCATTCCGGATCCGGCCGCCTTTCTGCAGCAGCGTCCAGCCCCTGTGCTGTTGGTTTTGGCAACGAAATAAATTTAGATGCACTGAAGCAGCAATAATTAGGTTTCCCTTCCATGTCCTCGACGAGAAGCCTAGCTGGAATCCAAATGGGGAAAATCATAATATGGTATTTAATAAGGGACCCTGGACTGAATTAAAGAGCTGCATGCGAGTTTTGCGAGAAAGGCCCGAAACTGAGTGAAAAGTACATGCCGTGTGATTTGTAAATAGAACTTCTGAAGTCCGTTTGTGGTTCAGTGAAACTGCTTTTATGCTGTTGTTTTGAATGAGAATAACGTTTGCTGGTTTTTGAGAAGCA